TGCAATTATGTTAATTGTCCGTAGCTTATGCCTTTCCATACCATAACCGCACCGCCAACATGGGGCACTCTGTTCACAACGTTGACATCAACAAACCGCTCGCCCACACGACGCCATCTGCCCGCTATAGTTGAAACCGGGATTCATTCGTGAAGAGCACACTTTTCCATCGTGCCATTGGCCATCGAAGGTGAGCATTTGCCCACTGAAGTCGGTTATGAAACCGAACTGCAGTCAGGTCAAGACCCTGGTGAGGACGACGAGCACGCAGATGAGCTTCCCTGAGACGGTTTCTGACAGTTTGTGCAGAATGTCTTTGACAATCCCGCAGGTGATGAAGCGGGATGGAGGTACTGCAAAGTTCTCTAAAATGACATTGGAGGCAGCTTATTGGTAGAGAAATTAACATAAAATTATCTGGCAACACCTCTGGTGGACATTCCTTCAGTCACCATGCCAATTGCACACTCTCAAAACCTGAGTCATCTGTGGCATTGTGTTGTGTGACAAAACTGCACATTTTAGAGTTTTTGTTGTTGTCTACAGCACAAGGTGCACCTGTGTAATGATCATGCTGTTTAATCCGCTTCTTGATATGCCACACCTGTCAGGTGGATGGATTATCTTGGCAAATGAGAAATGCTCACTAACAGGGATGTAAACAAATCTGTGCACTCTGTGTGGGCACTCCAATACCTTGACTTTGTTGTCCTTAAGCCATTTTGCCACAACTTTGGAAGTATGCTTGGGGTCATTGTCCATTTGGAAGACCCATTTGCGACCAAGCTTTAACTTCCTGACTGATGTCTTGATGTTGCTTCAATATATCCAAATAATTTTCCTTCCTCATGATGCCATCTATTTTGTGAAGTACACCAGTCCCTCCTGCAGCAAAGCACCACCACAGCATGATGCTGCCACCCCCGTGCTTCACGGTTGGGATGGTGTTCTTCGGCTTGCAAGCAACCCCCTTTTTCCTCCAAACATAACGATGGTCATTATGGCCAAACAGTTCTATTTTTGTTTCATCAGACCAGAGGACATTTCTCCAAAAAGTACGATCTTTGTCCCCATGTGCAGTTGCAAACCGTAGTCTGGCTTTTTTATGGCGGTTTTGGAGCAGTGGCTTCTTCCTTGCTGAGCGGCCTTTCAGGTTATGTAGATATAGGACTCGTTTTACTGTGGATATAGATACTTTTGTACCTGTTTCCTCCAGCATCTTCACAAGGTCCTTTGCTGTTGTTCTGGGATTGATTTGCACTTTTCGCACCAAAGTACGTTCATCTCTAGGAGACAGAACGCGTCTCCTTCCTGAGCGATATGACGGCTGCAGTGTCCCATGGTGTTTATACTTGCGTACTATTGTTTGTACAGATGAACGTGGTACCTTCAGGCATTTGGAAATTGCTCCCAAGGATGAACCAGACTTGTGGAGGTCTACCATTTTTTATGAGGTTTTGGCTGATTTCTTTTGATTTTTCCCATGATGTCAAGCAAAGAGGCACTGAGTTTGAAGGTAGGCCTTGAAATGCATCCACAGGTACACCTCCACTTGACTCAAATTATGTCAATTAGCCTATCAGAAGCTTCTAAAGCCATGACATCATTTTCTGGAATTTTCCAAGCTGTTTAAAGGCACAGTCAACTTAGTGTATGTAAACTTCTGACCCACTGGAATTGTGATACAGTGAATTATAAGTGAAATAATCTGTCTGTAAACAATTGTTGGAAAAATGACTTGTGTCATGCACAAAGTAGATGTCCTAACCGACTTGCCAAAACTATAGTTTGTTAACAAGAAATTTGTGAAGCTGTTGGAAAAACAAGTTTTAATGACTCTACCCTAACTGTATGTAAACTTCCGACTTCAACTGTGTGTGTATAATATAATATATATATATATATATATATGACAGAATCCTGCTCTGATCTAAGAGCTCTTTGCCAGCTGTGGGATAGCACAGTCACACTGGAGCCTCCACCACAGAGCATGATGGGAATGTGTTTTACTACTAGACCAGAAGGACACACACACACACACACACACACACACACGTACAACGAGGACACTTATGTAAGTGCTGATGCCACCTGTGGAAATGTCCCTCGCCTGAGGCCCAGGGCCTGTTTTTGGGCAGGGAGACCACAGACGGTGTGAGAGCGTGACTGTGCCTCTGCCAAATTGAACACGAGGAGGAAGCCGTGCTGAATGTACCACCTCTGCTGTGCCCTGTGGTTTCTCATCTCAAGTGTTTAGGGCTGGAGGCCTTTGGCTGACTGTGACTGAACCAGTCTGGGCAGAACTCGGCTGAATGGATGAATGGCTCAAATAAAATGATGTTTTCAACATGTTCACCCAGTGCAGTTTTAACATTGGAATTTGGACATGAGCCATTGCAATTCTAATTCGTTACACAACAGCCTTCGTCTATCTGTTTTTGGTTCATTTAACTAAATATTATCGTCTCCAAAACCCTTGTTTATCCAAATGTGAGATGTTCATTCTTGGTTGTTGTCTTGTACAGTGGGGAGAACAAGTATTTGATACACTGCCGATTTTGCAGGTTTTCCTACTTACAAAGCATGTAGAGGTCTGTAATTTTTTTATCATAGGTAAACTTCAACTGTGAGAGACGGAATCTAAAACAAAAATCCAGAAAATCACATTGTATGATTTTTAAGTAATTAATTTGCATTTTTTATTGCATGACATAAGTATTTGATACATCAGAAAAGCAGAACTTAATATTTGATACAGAAACCTTTGTTTGCAATTACAGAGATCATACGTTTCCTGTAGGTCTTGACCAGGTTTGCACACACTGCAGCAGGGATTTTGGCCCACTCCTCCATACAGACCTTCTCCAGATCCTTCAGGTTTCGGGGCTGTTGCTGGGCAATACGGACTTTCAGCTCCCTCCAAAGATGTTCTATTGGGTTCAGGTCTGGAGACTGGCTAGGCCACTCCAGGACCTTGAGATGCTTCTTACGGAGCCACTCCTTAGTTGCCCTGGCTGTGTGTTTCGGGTAGTTGTCATGCTGGAAGACCCAGCCACGACCCATCTTCAATGCTCTTACTGAGGGAAGGAGGTTGTTGGCCAAGATCTCGCGATACATGGCCCCATCCATCCTCCCCTCAATACGGTGCAGTCGTCCTGTCCCCTTTGCAGAAAACCATCCCCAAAGAATGATGTTTCCACCTCCATGCTTCACGGTTGGGATGGTGTTCTTGGGGTTGTACTCATCCTTCTTCTTCCTCCAAACACGGCGAGTGGAGTTTAGACCAAAAAGCTCTATTTTTGTCTCATCAGACCACATGACCTTCTCCCATTCCTTCTCTGGATCATCCAGATGGTCATTGGCAAACTTCAGATGGGCCTGGACATGCGCTGGCTTGAGCAGGGGGACCTTGCGTGCGCTGCAGGATTTTAATCCATGATGGCGTAGTGTGTTACTAATGGTTTTCTTTGAGACTGTGGTCCCAGCTCTCTTCAGGTCATTGACCAGGTCCTGCTGTATAGTTCTGGGCTGATCCCTCACCTTCCTCATGATCATTGATGCCCCACGAGGTGAGATCTTGCATGGAGCCCCAGACCGAGGGTGATTGACCGTCATCTTGAACTTCTTCCATTTTCTTCCAGTTGTTGCCTTCTCACCAAGCTGTTTGCCTATTGTCCTGTAGCCCATCACAGCCTTGTGCAGGTCTACAATTTTATCCCTGATGTCCTTACACAGCTCTCTGGTCTTGGCCATTGTGGAGAGGTTGGAGTCTGTTTGATTGAGTGTGTGGACAGGTGTCTTTTATACAGGTAACGAGTTCAAACAGGTGCAGTTAATACAGGTAATGAGTGGAGAACAGGAGGGCTTCTTAAAGAAAAACTAACAGGTCTGTGAGAGCCGGAATTCTTACTGGTTGGTAGGTGATCAAATACTTATGTCATGCAATAAAATGCAAATGAATTACTTAAAAATCGTACAATGTGATTTTCTGGATTTTTGTTTTAGATTCCGTCTCTCACAGTTGAAGTGTACCTATGATAAAAATTACAGACCTCTACATGCTTTGTAAGTAGGAAAACCTGCAAAATCGGCAGTGAATCAAATACTTGTTCTCCCCACTGCAACTAGCTCTGTAAGTCCGTACCATGCCGCCTAGAAACATTTTGCTTTATTGACTTGGCCTGAAGGGTTTTTTTTTTTTTCTTTTTTAGGCCTAATTTGAATAAAATGACATAGTTACAGTGAGGGGGAAAAACAAAGCGTGCGAACAACGGTGTCCTAGAAAACCGCTTCACAGCAGATACCGTAACGTATTCATTAGCTGACCTGTTGTGTGTCCAACCACCTGGCTCATACCTGTTTGTCTGCTGCTGGAATAAAGGTCATTCTCTCGTCGTAAGTGTGTGTGTGTGTGTGTGAGAGAGAACGATATCTGTGTGTTTGTGTGTGTGTGTGTGTGAGAGAGAACGATACCTGTGTGTGTGTGAGAGAGAACGATGCCTGTGTGTGTGTGTGTGTGTGTGTGTGTGTGTGTGTGTGTGTGTGATGAGTCAGTCCCCCAGAGGAGACTGGGTTCACAGTGCATTTCCAGTTTCGATGGGTACAGAAAGAAGGTAGGGGAGTGGCCAAAACAAACTGCAATGGGGTGGGGGTGTGTGACGTCTGTTAGAGGGTAGGGGTCAACGCTGAGGATAATTGAAGGAGATAGCTGGGAACATTTGTACACTGAGTTTCAGTTAACCTGACATTGCCCTGGCTGCGTTTAACCCTAACCCTACCACGGTTGTCCCTACTGCTGAATACACATCAACAAGTCATGGATAAATAGATGTGCTTCTCATTCAGTCAAACATTAACGTTTTTTTTAAATTGAATTTTAGGGAACAAACTAAGCAAGTATCTTCTGCAGAAGATATTTATCACAATGGGAATAACATTTTAGAAATAAAAGTTTGATGTAAAATTTTTTTATAATTTTTTTTTCTTCTTCCCATTGTAGGTCCATTCTAGAAAAAGAGGGACCACGGTCGCTCTTCCGGGGACTGGGTCCAAATCTTGTCGGGGTGGCCCCATCAAGGTAAGCCCACTCTGCAGTCTACATTATACACTGACTGCTTTTAACAGGGTGGATTTGGTGGAAGTAATGTTTGGGTGTGGATGTGTTTTGATAGCTTCCTGTGTGTGCCCAGACCCTTAACATCACATCTCAACTGACAGATGTTAGTGAAGATATTGTTACTGCCCAGTTGTTTAAGAGCGTTTCCTAATAAGGTGGTTGATCCAGTGTGTTGATTCAAAAGCCCCAGATTACCCTAACCATTAACCCCTAACCATTAACCCCTAACCATTAACCCCTACCCCTAACCATTAACCCCTAACCCTAACTCCTAACCCTAACCCCTTAACCCTAACCATTAACCCCTAACCCCAACCCCTAACTCCTAACCCTAACCCCTAACCCCAGAGTATTTTCTTCTTCTTCTAAACTAACTATCTCCTAAAGGATATGGGGAAACCGTTTGCCTTTCTAAAATGGAAGGCCAATAATGTCTGTGGTGATTGGATGGCAGCTCCGGTAATGTCTGGGGTGATTGGATGGCAGCTCCGGTAATATCTGGGGTGATTGGATGGCAGCTCCGGTAATATCTGGGGTGATTGGATGGCAGCTCCGGTAATGTCTGTGGTGATTGGATGGCAGCTCCGGTAATGTCTGTGGTGATTGGATGGCAGCTCCGGTAATGTCTGTGGTGATTGGATGGCAGCTCCGGTAATGTCTGTGGTGATTGGATGGCAGCTCCGGTAATATCTGGGGTGATAGGATGGCAGCTCCGGTAATGTCTGTGGTGATTGGATGGCAGCTCCGGTAATATCTGTGGTGATTGGATGGCAGCTCCGGTAATGTCTGTGGTGATTGGATGGCAGAGCAGAACAGTGAGGTGGACGAGAACAAAGCAGGGGCCTGTTCAGTAGGCACAAAATTGAATAAAATGTTGAGGTTCTATCTGAACTTGTCCAAGAAGAAATGCTTGCTTTTGTTTTCCGTTGCAAAATGTTTTTGCTACGCTTTGCCCTAATGAACACGACCCTGCTTTTATAAGTGACAGAGTTGCTGTAGTCTGTTGATTTTCTAGGGATAACAGTTGACATCCATTTAAGACCTTCGCCCTTGGTAATGTAAACATTACCAACAAATCAACCAACAGTCAATGTTTCATGGAATCCTTATTTTCATTCATGGAGGGAGAAATGATTGGAAAGGCAGACATGGTTGTTCATACTGTACACTGACAAAGGGGGAAACACACACACACACACACACAAGCAAAGAACACCGCTTCAGGCCCACCCTTCACTGTAATGAAGTTAACAGGGTGACGCCGACTTGGTGCCTGAGCCCTTGTCCACCCCAGGGTTTATAGACACTACATAGTACACAGTCCTCACTAAGGATCAGCCATCTAACCCTCCGTCTCCATTCAGAATGAGAATAGCACTAGCACCAGACCCATCTCTCTCTGTAGACCCCCTGGCCTGCCTCCGTTCTCATTCAGAATGAGAATAGCACTAGCACCAGACCCATCTCTCTCTGTAGACCCCCTGGCCTGCCTCCGTTCTCATTCAGCCCATTCTGCTGCTGCCTGTGACACTGACACACACACACACACACACACACACACACACACATACACACACACTGTATGGGATGGGCTGTTCCAAATGCATGGCAGAAAGAAATGCGACTGCTCTGGACAGGACTCACACCCAGCAGGCTTAGCTGGCTCTGTCAAAAGCTGCTGCTACCACTTCACAGCACAGGCATCAGGCAGCTCCTGGAAACGGGACGTCACAAAAAACACACACTGCAGTTAGAAAACACACACACACACTTGGGTACACACAAAGATGGGTACATTATTTATTAATTCATTCATTCACCAATTGTCATTTTTAATTTTCTCATCTCCCTCCTTTTGTCTTTGCAGAGCTATTTATTTTGCTGCCTACAAAAAGTCGAAAGAGACGTTCAATGGCGTCTTCGTCCCTAACAGTGGAGTGGTGCACATGTCCTCAGCTGGCTTTGCAGGTGAGACCCAATCTGAAGCAGACCACATAGAACCATAGAGCCCTGTGTAGAGGACGTAGAGGACGTAGAGCCCTGTGGAGAGGACGTAGAGGACGTAGAGCCCTGTGGAGAGGACGTAGAGCCCTGTGGAGAGGACGTAGAGCCCTGTGGAAGGACGTAGAGCCCTGTGGAGAGGACGTAGAGCCCTGTGGAGAGGACGTAGAGCCTGTGGAAGGACGTAGAGCCCTGTGGAGAGGACGTAGAGCCCTGTGTAGAGGACGTAGAGCCCTGTGGAGAGGACGTAGAGCCCTGTGTAGAGGACGTAGAGCCCTGTGTAGAGGACGTAGAGCCCTGTGGAGAGGACGTAGAGCCCTGTGGAGAGGACGTAGAGCCCTGTGGAGAGGACGTAGAGCCCTGTGGAGAGGACGTAGAGCCCTGTGGAGAGGACGTAGAGCCCTGTGACGTAGAGCCCTGTGTAGAGGACGTAGAGCCCTGTGTAGAGGACGTAGAGCCCTGTGTAGAGGACGTAGAGCCCTGTGTAGAGGACGTAGAGCCCTGTGTAGAGGACGTAGAGCCCTGTGTAGAGGACGTAGAGCCCTGTGTAGAGGACGTAGAGCCCTGTGTAGAGGACGTAGAGCCCTGTGTAGAGGACGTAGAGCCCTGTGTAGAGGACGTAGAGCCCTGTGTAGAGGACGTAGAGCCCTGTGTAGAGGACGTAGAGCCCTGTGTAGAGGACGTAGAGCCCTGTGACGTAGAGCCCTGTGTAGAGGACGTAGAGCCCTGTGTAGAGGACGTAGAGCCCTGTGTCTGTGGAAGCACTATACCTTCTACTTTATGCAAATGGTTGTTATACCTTCCTCATGAAGCTGGTTGAGTGAATGCCAAGAGTGTGCAAAGCTGTCATCAAGGCAAAGGGTGGCTACTTTGAAGAATCTCAAATATAAAAGATAAATTGTATTTGTTCAACACTTTTTTGGTTACTACGTGATTCCATATGTGTTATTTCATAGTTTTGATGTCTTCACTATTATTATACTATGTAGAAAATAAAGAAAAACCCTTGAATGAGTAGGTGTGTCCAAACATTTGACTGGTACTGCTTTTACACACACACAAAAGTATGTGGACACCCCTTCAAATGAGTTGATTCGGCTATTTCAGCCACACCCATTGCTGACAGGTGTATAAAATCGAGCACACAGCCATGCAATCTCCATAGACACATTTTGGCAGTAGAATGGCCTTACTGAAGAGATCAGTGTTCCAACAAGTCAGTTCGTCAAATTTCTGCCCTGCTAGAGCTGCCCCGGTCAACGGTAAGTGCTGTTATTGTGAAGTGGAAACGTCTAGGAGCAACAACGGCTCAGCCGTGAAGTGGTAGGCCGTACAAGCTCACAGAATGGACCGCAGACTGCTGAAGCATGTAGAGTGTAAAAATCGTCTGTCCTCAGTTGCAAACTGCCTCTGGAAGCAACGTCAGCACAAGAACTGTTCGTCGGGAGCTTCATGAAATGGGTCTCCATAGCAGAGCAGCCGCACAAAAGCCTAAGATCACCATGCGCAGTGCTAAGTGTCGGCTGGAGTGGTGTAAAGCTCGCTGCCATTGAACTCGGTCTAGGCCCCTTAGTTCCAGTGAAGGGAAATCTTAACTCTACAGCATACAACGACATTCTAGACGATTCTGTGCTTCCAACTTTGTGGCAACAGTTTGGGGAAGGCCCTTTCCTGTTTCAGCATGACAATGCACCTGTGCACAAAGCAAGGTCCATACAGAAATGGTTTGTCGAGATTGGTGTAGAAGAACTTGACTGGCCTGCACAGAGCCCTGACCTCAACCCCATTCAAACACCTTTGGGATGAATTGGAAGGCCGACTGCGGCCAGGCCTAATCGCCCAACATCAGTGCCCGACCTCACTAATGCTCTTGTGGCTGAATGGAAGCAAGTCCCAGCAGCAATGCGCCAACATCTAGTGGAAAGCCTTCCCAGAAGAGTGGAGGCTGTTATAGCAGCAAAGGGGGGACCAACTCCATATTAATGCCCATGATTTTGGAATGAGATGTACGACGAGCGGGTGTCCACATACTTTCGGGGGTGTGTGTGTGTATATATATTATGTTATATAACTATATAAAATGTGTTGTATAATTTGAATTTCTGCTCTGTCAGGAATCCTGGAGGATTTGACCTCCCTGACATTTTGTTCTTTCTCTGAACTTTCATCCAAAGATATACAATTAATTCTCTCTCTCTCTCTCTCTCTTGTCCCTCTTTCCTGCTCCATCCAGTGATATGACATGAAACTCTCTGTTTCTATTTCCTGTTTCAGCCTTTGTTACAAACTCCCTAATGAACCCCGTCTGGATGGTTAAGACGAGGATGCAGCTGGAGAGAAGGTATTCTATTATTATGTACTTCATTCCCAACCTGTTCATCTATTGTTCATACATCTCTCCTTTTTTTAAAACACTTTTGATTACATCTTTTAAATGCAGACACCTTCAAAGAGTTAGTCCTCTATTAATGGTGCAGAACATGGAGCTATTCTTTTTAAGGGTTACTGTATTTTAATTGCAGTTCTATCACCAGACACCACCACATGTAATGTGACCTTTGACCCGGGCCCCCCCCCCCCCCCCCCCCCCCCCCCCCCCCTCTTAGCTGCAGTGCTGTCCTCGGGTTACGCAGTGCGCATGGTTTAACATGTGACCCAGGCAGGTCCATAAATACCCCAGCTGATGACGCATTAGGCTGCGTTGGAGGAAGAGGATGCGGACCAAATGGCGTTCTATTCCCTATGTAGTGCGCTTCTTTTTGGCCAGGGCCCTGTTCAAAAGTAGTGCACTGTGTAGGGAATAGGGTGCCATTTGGGACCGCGTGAGGTCAGTTACAAGGTGACCTAGAGTCCTATTTACCCTCCAGTCTTGTCCATATAGCTAGACACTGGAACTATTTTTAACCGCTGGAGGAAAAATGAATAAAATGTTCTTCTAAAATTATATTTTGGAATGTATTAACAAGCTAAAAAGATGTACTGAAATGTATATTTGAGAATGGAAAAAGTAACAGTGGACGTAAAAATATAGGATGTATTGTTTGAGAGATAACCCCCCCCCACCGTCTCGTCCTGTGACCTATTTGACTGGAGTCTGAGGTATACTGACTGTCTGGAGAGGTGAGGTGTACTGACTGTCTGGTGAGGTGAGGTGTACTGACTGTCTGGAGAGGTGAGGTGTACTGACTGTCTGGAGAGGTGAGGTGTACTGACTGTCTGGAGAGGTGTACTGACTGTCTGGTGAGGTGAGGTGTACTGACTGTCTGGAGAGGTGAGGTGTACTGACTGTCTGGAGAGGTGAGGTGAGGTGTACTGACTGTCTGGTGAGGTGAGGTGTACTGACTGTCTGGAGAGGTGAGGTGTACTGACTGTCTGGAGAGGTGAGGTGTACTGACTGTCTGGTGAGGTGAGGTGTACTGACTGTCTGGAGAGGTGAGGTGAGGTGTACTGACTGTCTGGAGAGGTGAGGTGAGGTGTACTGACTGTCTGGAGAGGTGAGGTGTACTGACTGTCTGGAGAGGTGAGGTGTACTGACTGTCTGGAGAGGTGAGGTGAGGTGTACTGACTGTCTGGAGAGGTGAGGTGTACTGACTGTCTGGTGAGGTGAGGTGTACTGACTGTCTGGAGAGGTGAGGTGTACTGACTGTCTGGAGAGGTGAGGTGTACTGACTGTCTGGAGAGGTGAGGTGAGGTATACTGACTGTCTGGAGAGGTGAGGTGTACTGACTGTCTGGAGAGGTGAGGTGTACTGACTGTCTGGAGAGGTGAGGTGAGGTATACTGACTGTCTGGTGAGGTGAGGTGAGGTGTACTGACTGTCTGGAGAGGTGAGGTGTACTGACTGTCTGGAGAGGTGAGGTGAGGTATACTGACTGTCTGGAGAGGTGAGGTGTACTGACTGTCTGGAGAGGTGAGGTGAGGTGTACTGACTGTCTGGAGAGGTGAGGTGAGGTATACTGACTGTCTGGAGAGGTGAGGTGAGGTGTACTGACTGTCTGGAGAGGTGAGGTGTACTGACTGTCTGGAGAGGTGAGGTGAGGTATACTGACTGTCTGGAGAGGTGAGGTGAGGTGTACTGACTGTCTGGAGAGGTGAGATGTACTGACTGTCTGGAGAGGTGAGGTGAGGTATACTGACTGTCTGGAGAGGTGAGGTGAGGTATACTGACTGTCTGGTGAGGTGAGGTGAGGTGTACTGACTGTCTGGAGAGGTGAGGTGTACTGACTGTCTGGAGAGGTGAGGTGTACTGACTGTCTGGAGAGGTGAGGTGTACTGACTGTCTGGAGAGGTGAGGTGTACTGACTGTCTGGAGAGGTGAGGTGTACTGACTGTCTGGAGAGGTGAGGTGAGGTGTTGACTGGCTGTTGTGACCCTGACACCTCTAGCCCTGGTCATGTGACCCTGACACCTCTAACCCTGGTCATGTGACCCTGACACCTCTAGCCCTGGTCATGTGACCCTGACACCTCTAGCTCTGGTCATGTACAATAGGGCACACCATAGCAAACTGTAGCAAAAAAAAGTATTTCTTATTGGATCAAATAGTACCTCTCTGTTTCACTCTGTTTTGGACAGTTTTCTTCCGTTTTCCACAAATTAAGTTCCTACTGGAAAAAATTTTTTCTTTCATTCTAATCTAAACTCCGATCATTTCTCTCTCTCTCTCTCTCTTTTCTCCAGGGCGCGAGGTGAGAAGAAGACGAACGCGCTGCAGTGTGCCCGTTACGTTTACAAGACTGAGGGCGTGAGAGGTTTCTACCGGGGGCTGACAGCGTCCTACGCTGGCATCTCCGAGACCATGATCTGTTTCCTCATCTACGAGACGCTGAAGAAACGCCTGAACGAAGCGCGCTTCACGTCGCCAAACAGCGACACAGAAAAAGGGGCGTCGGACTTCCTAGGCCTGATGATGGCAGCTGCTTTCGCTAAGGGCTGTGCTTCCTGCATAGCCTACCCACACGGTAAGCATGGGGTTAATGGGTATTAAATACATTTTAAAATGTTAGGATATTTAACTTGTCATACCACACCTCAACGACCAAAATGCACATTGACGTAGGAGGCCAATCCACAGCTGTTAAATGACAACGGCCCAATCAACTGCCGTCTACGTCTACTGTGGAATAACACGTCATGACTCATTATTAAAGGAGCAATATGTAGAAATCACCTGGTTGCTAAAATTCTATCATGTTCGCCTAATTTCAGTTTGTGACAAAACAAGGAATGGAGAGTGTAGAGAATCATTGTAAAATCTAAACCCCTGTGAAATCTCTTTTCAATAACCCAAAACATCACATTTTCAGCTGTTTGAAGCCAGTGTACAAAACTGAAACTAAAGACTCAAAAGCTTAACTTCAGAACGGGAAGGATAGAAATAGCGCACATAGAATGGATCTACCGCTTATCAGACTTGCTTTCAATGAGAGTGACAGATCTATAACTCACATTTCTTTGTGAATTTGGTTGGGTCGCCCAGAAAGCTACAGACTTGACCTTTTTGACTGAGCAGCCTTTAGAAAAACTGGACTTCACAAAAAGTCCACACATTCCTTCCATCTTTGGTCAAATACTCTGTAAACTGCATTCAAAATCACTTTCTAACTCTTAACGCGTCTTTCTTCATTTCTCCCCCTCTATCTATCCTTCCCTTCATCAGAGGTGATTCGGACAAGGCTGCGAGAAGAGGGCAGCAAATACCAGTACTTCTTCCAGACGGCACGGTTGGTTGCAGTGGAGGAGGGCTACGCTGCTTTTTACAGAGGACTCGTTCCACAGCTTATCAGACAGATCCCCAACACAGCCATCGTCCTCTCCACCTATGAACTCATTGTCCACCTGATGGGAGACTCCTCGCAGTGACCAATGACGTCAACTTGTTTTGGTCGGCCCATCCAAGATGGAAGCTATACCCCAAGGCACGTTGGGCGTAGAAAAAGAGACAATCGTGAAATGTTGTGGACAGACGGATATAGAGACTGTTGGTTTCTCTTGAGGGAATTTGAAAGCAGGTTTTACTGTTATCCAAAGACCTGAACCTCTATTTAGTGCACTACTTTTGACCAGGGTAGGGCCCAGAAGTAGTGCACTAAATAGGGAATAGGGTGGCATTTGGGACTCTCACGTAATTTTTTTTATTTTAATGGAGGTATGTTAAGGTGTTCAGAAGAAGTTACGCTCTCAAGAATTGTGGTACTTTATGACAGGACAATTCTAGCCTGAATCCCAGATTGGTTTGTGCTGTATTGCCAACTCCATTGCTGCCGTTTTTGAGTTATGAGACATCACGACACAAACAGATCTGGGAATCAGGCTAGGACAACTCCATATCTGAGGAGAACTTTAGTTTCCGTTAGCATACAAGGTAAACAGGTCATCTGAATAGAAGAGCACTGTTAAACTAAATTATTTAATGTATTTTTATTGTTATCACTGTTTCTCTGATGCTTATCCGTGTTGAACGTCCAAAGATCCACCACTGTCTTTGGCTACAGGTTATTTCATTTTACGCTAATGAAGGGAAATAAGGTGAAGGCAAAGCTAGAGTTAGTCATCATGATAGTTCCTGTTTATTCATTCACTAGCGCATGGTGATTTTGAAGTTTAATAGAATTATCACTGAGTAATGTATCATACTATTTTCCATGACAAATACAGGTTAATCTGTATATTGTGTTTGTTAAAGAACATGGTCACCTTTTTACAATATAATGACAACGTGAATGCTTATTTGACTTAGTGGCTCAATAAAATCGCATCAATAAGTGTTCGGTTCATTGTTTCAAATGGTGTCGTTCTACCTTAAAACTACAGTAATATGGTTGGAAAAGATGGACTGGATGTAATGGTTTCGTGGTGTTCTGTATTTCACTTGGTGGTATACAGTAAAAGGTGCTGAAAATGTCAACTGGATGTCCTCACAGTTTCTCACTTCACACTCTCAGTACAAAACTACACGTACATAATGTTTTCACTATGCCAGACTGAGATTATTACAATAGTGTACTTTGTGTACAGTAGTATTTTTGAAGGGTACATATTAGTGATAGTCAATTAACCCTTACCAAATACAGTTTATCTGATTACCATAACAGCCTCTTAACAACTTGCATCAACATTGTTTGGAGTGGACTGTGGACAGTAAAGTACTGTGGACACTAGGGGTGTAACGATTCGTTTTAACAACGATTCGATTTGTATCACGATTCGTGGTTGTCGATACGATTCAAGGACGATATTGGTTCATTTAGAACGATACGATCCGAAACGATTCAGTGACTTGAAATCGATTCAGTAACCTTTTAGCCAAAAATTCAACCAGTGTGACTGAAATAAATACCTGGATACTGGACAGTGCAGGTGAAGTTTCCTAGATTCCTGTTTCTTGTAAGGACCGCAATGGTGGCTTGATAATTTCTCGCTCGTCGGCTTCTCCTCTGTCGTCCGCCATGCTATGTTTTGTTGTCTTTGCGCCTTTGCGCTGCTGCTGGCGCGGGGCGATGACGTCACGGATAGGCAGACTGAATCGAGTAATGTTTAAAGCCTTTATCATTAAAAGTGCTAAGAAAAAACATCCATATAAAGTCTGACGTGCTTAAATCCAATGGGTTATTTCCTAGTATCGATACAATCGATTTATTACATTTTAAAACGATGTTAGATTGATATATGTTGTCCAAAAGGCCAACTCGCCGAGCACAAATCGATGTAGTTGGATCATAGGAATATAAATCGATACATCGATGTAGTAGATGGATCGTTACACCCCTAGTGGACACTGAAATACTGTGGACACAGAAATACTGTGAACACTAAAATACTGTGGACACTGTATAATACTGTGAACACTAAAATACTGTGGACACTGTAGAATAATGTGAACACTGTAAAATACTGTGGACACTGTACAATAATGTGAACACTAAAATACTGTGGACACTGTAGAATACTGTGAACACTAAAATACTGTGGACACATTAGAATACTGTGAACACTAAAACACTAATACTGTGAACACTAAAATACTGTGAGCACTGTAAAATACTGTGGACACTAGAGTACAGTGGACAGTGTAAAATACTGTGAACACTAAAATACTGTGGACACTGTAGAATCATGTGAACACTACAATACTGTGGACTCCGTAGAATACTATGAACACTAAAATACTGTGGACACATTAGAATACTGTGAACACAAACACTGTTGACACTAGAATACTGTGAACACTAAAATACTGTGGGAACTGTAAAATACTGTGGACACTACAATACTGTGGACGCCGTAGAATACTATGAACACTAAAATACTGTGGACACTGTAAAATATTGTGGACACTAGAATACAGTGAACACTGTAATACACTGACACTAGAATACTGTGAACACTAAAATACTGTGGACACTCTAAAATACTGTAGACACTATAGAATACTGTGGACACTGTAGGATACTGTGGACACTAAAATACTGTGGACACTGTAAAATACTGTAGACACTATAGAATACTGTAATACAACTGAACTCAAAATACGTGGACCTAGAATATGTGACAAAACACTGTCGACACTAGAATACTGTGAACACTAAATAATGGGAAACTGTGGACACTGAGTACAGGGGTAGTAAATTGTGGACACTAAAACTTACTGTGAACACATAAATTACTGTGAACACTTAAACACTGTTGACACTACAATACGGTGGACTCGTACGATGAACACTAAAATACTGTGGACACTGTAAAATATTGTGGACACTAGAATACTGTGAACACTGTAATACACTGTTGACAATAGAACACTGTGAACACTAAAATACTGTGAACACTAAAATACCGTGGACACTGTAAAATACTGTAGACACTATAGAATACTGTGGACACTAAAATACTGTGAACAGTCAATACTAGGACACTCGAATACGGTTGAACTGTAAATACTGTGGATACTAAAATACTGTGGACAATGTAAAATACTGTGGACACTTAAATACAGTGGGTTGTAAACTCAGTCTTTTCCCCACTAAAAGATAATTAAAGGTCAAATGCTGTAAAGTCATGTAAAGTGTTTATGTTGAGGATTTGTAATACAATCCCATTGCACCCAAAGTTGAACATTTAATTGTGATTTATAATACGTTTATTCATTGTGTATCAGTGCATGTAATAAAATACCATTTTAAAAGATACATTTTAAAAAGATAAACAAGAACGAATAAAATAATGATCTTCAAGGCATAATCAAACTTTTAGCGTTCATGGGTGATTAATTAAAAATACTTCATTCAGTTTTTCTAGGGTTTCCACGGTTCAGCTGTTGCTTTGGAAATCTGCAAATGCATAACTTTACCCTAAAACCAAGTAAGAAAAACAAATGAATACATTGACAAGGAAGATGTAACAATTTCCTCATCAGAAAGGGTATTACCTCGTACAAGTTAGCATTTAGCTGTTGCAGTAATCACACTGTGGATTGAACAGACGAGGAAGTCTTGAGGGGAAAAAAAGATTTAGGGGGTAGGTTTAGGGGCGAGGGAAATTCTGTTAAGCTAAATATTAACTTATCATGCACAGGCCAAGTTTGTTTTTTAATGACTTACCTTTGTACTGGCGTTTCCTCTTTGGTGATGAAGCTAGATTAAACCAGAGTAAAATCAGACAGCATTTAATTACAGATAGACAAATGGTATTTATACTACTTCTCATGAAACAGTAGAAACATCTCCCCCTCTTCCGGGCCTTCATTTCTAGCCATCTTCATGTATTTTTTATTTTTTTTTACACTATAGTACTTACCGAAAAGATAATCAAAGAGTCCTTTACACCAGTCCCAGTTTTGCATAGGTTTGCTCATGCATGTCATATAACCTACCACAAAGAGAGGGAAATATACAGTGGGGACAACAAGTATTTGATACACTGCCGATTTTGCAGGTTTTCCTACTTACAAAGCATGTAGAGGTCTGTCATTTTTTATCATAGGTAGTACACTTCAACTGTGAGAGACGGAATCTAAAACAAAAATCCAGAAATGCAAATTCATTACTTTAAAAATCATACAATGTGATTTTCTGGATTTTTGTTTTAGATTCCATCTCTCACAGTTGAAGTGTACCTATGATAAAAATGATAGACCTCTTCATGCTTTGTAAGTAGGAAAACCTGCAAAATCGGCAGTGTATCAAATACTTGTTGTCACAACTGTAGCTGATTCCACCCTTGGTAAGAGACAACTTAAATGTGAAAATTAATGCATCATAATTACAAGTGATGAAGTGACACAACTATCAATAATAGTAATAGTTGAAAACTTTAACTGATATCACAGTGTAGACTTAAGTAAATGTAATATTAAAAACGTGAACTAATACAGTGTAGACTTAAGTAAATGTAATTTTAAAAACTTGAACTAATACAGTGTAGACTTAAAATAAATACACTGAGTGTACAAAACATTAGGAACACCTTCCTAATATTGAGTTGCACACCCCTTTTGTCCTCAGAACAGCCTACATTGTCAGGGCATGGATTCTACAAGCAGGGCCGGGTTAATGCAGCGGCTTACCGGGGATGAAGCCCCTGGGCTCAGGCCCCTGAGGCACCGTGTCGAAAGCGGGTCCACAGCGAAGCTGACCCACGTTGACTCCAATGCTTCCCACACAGTTGTGTCAAGTTGGCTGGATGTCCTTTGGGTGGTGGACCGTTCTTGATACACACGGGAAACTGCCGAGCGTGAAAAACCCAACAGCGTTGCTGTTCTTGACACACTCAAACCGGTGAGCCTGGCACCTACTTGTCTCAAGGCTTAAAAATCCTTCTTTAACCTGTCTCCTCCCCTTCATCTACACTGATTGAAGTGGATTTAACACGTGACATCAATAAAGGATCATAGGTTTCACCTGGATTCAACAGGTCAGTCAATGTCATGGAAAGAGCAGGTGTTCCTAATGTTTTGTACACAACGTAGACTTAAGTAAATACAATGATTACAAAGAATGTAATTTTACTTACGAAACGTATTGTCCTTCATCTCTCTCTCCGCCCTTTTTGCTGTTGAGAAAATAACATCAAATGGTGGGTGAATTGGTGGAGTACTCTATTCAATATACAGTAAGTAACTCAGTCATCTTACAATCAGACAGAAACAAACGTCAACTCAAAAGAAGGATCAAATAATCCATGTAATTATGTATAGGGGAATCTACAGCGCCTTCAGAATGTATTCACACCCCTTGACTTAGTCCACATTTTGTTGTGTTACAGCCTGAATTTAAAATGGATTGAACACAATATCCCATCATGTCAAAGTGGAATTATGTTTTTCGATATTTTTACAAATTAATTGAACATTTAAAGCTGAGATGTCTTTAGTCAATAAGTATTCAACCCCTTTGTTATGGCAAGCCTACATAAGTTCAGGAGTAAAAATTAGCTTAACAAGTTACATAATAAGTTGCATGGACTCACTAATAATAGTGTTTAACATGATTTTTGAATGACTACCTCATCTCTGTACCCCATACATACAATTATCTACTGTATGAGGTCCCTCAGTCAAGCATTGAATTTCAAACACAGATTCAACCACAAAGACCAGGGAGGTTTTCCAATGCCTCGTAAAGAAGGGAACATATTGGTAAATTGGTAAAAAATTAATTTAAAAAAGCTGACATTGAATATCCCTTTGAGCATGGTGAAGTTATTAATTACACTTTGGATGGTGTATCAATACACCCAGTCACTACAAAGATACAGGTGTCCTTCCTAACTCAGTTGCCGGAGAGGAAGGAAACCACTCAGGGATTTCACCATGACGCCAATGGTGATTTTAAAACAGTTACAGAGTTTAATGGCTGTGATAGGAGAAAACTGAAGATGGATCAACAACATTGTAGTTACTCCACAATACTAACCTAAATGACAGAGTGAAAAGAAGGAAGCCTGTACCACTCTCCATATTTTCAAGCATAGTGGTGGCTGCATCATGTTATGTGTATGTTTGTAATCGGGATAAAAATTAACGGAATGGAGCTAAGTACAGGGAAAATCCTAGAGGAAAACCTGGTTCAGTCTGCTTTCCACCAGACACTGGGAGATTAATTCACCTTTCAGCAGGACAATAACCTAAAACACAAGGCCAAATCCACACTGGAGTTGCTTACCAATAAGACAGTGAATGTTCCTGAGTGGCCGAGTTACAGTTTTGACTTAAATCTACTTGAAAATCTATGGCAAGACCTGAAAATGATTGTCTTTAAATAATCAACATCCAATTTGACAGAGCTTGAAGAATTTTTTTAAAGAATAATGGGCAAATGTTGCACAATCCAGGTGTGGAAAGCTCTTAGAGACTTACACAGGAAGACTCACAGCTGTAATCGCTGCCAAAGGTGCTTCTACAAATGTCTAAAAACATGTTTTCACTTTGTCATTGTGGGGTATTGTGTGTAGATGGGTGAGAAAAAAATAGATGTAATCCATTTTGAATTCAGGCTGTAACAACAACACAATGTGGAACAAGACAAGGGGCATGAATGGTTTCTGAAGGCACTGTACATGAACATTTCCTATATGTGCATGTATGTAAACATTGTTGAATACAATGTAGTGATATAAGTGATAGGATATCTGCCTTACTCAGTTCCTTGATGTAGTTGTCATCTAGCTGACCAAAGCAGCTTACCATTCCTTTCAGAGCATGGGAGAGCCAACAGCTCACAAAGACTGAAAAGAGGGAATACATAGCAATCAGATTTTGCTGATGAGAAAATTATAGAATATCTTGTTGTCTAAGTACTCATAGAATACATTGTTGTCTAAGTACTTATATAATACCTTCTTGTCTAAGTACTCATAGAATATCTTGTCTAAGTACTTATAGAATATATTGTTGTCTAAGTACTTATAGAATATCTTGTTGTCTAAGTACTTATAGAATACCTTGTTGTCTAAGTACTTATTGAATACCTTGTTGTCTAAGTACTTATAGAATATCTTGTTGTCTAAGTACTTACAGAATATCTTGTTGTCTAAGTACTTATAGAATATATTGTTGTCTAAGTACTCATAGAATACATTGTTGTCTAAGTACTTATATAATACCTTCTTGTCTAAGTACTCATAGAATACCTTGTTGTCTAAGTACTTATATAATATCTTGTTGTCTAAGTACTTACAGAATACCTTGTTGTCTAAGTAATAATTTTCACATTTCTCTTCAGCAACTTGCTAAATATCAGGCTGATGGAATTTAAAACTGTATGGATGAATCAACACCACACCACCCTAGAAATGAGGTAAAACATAACATTTGAACTATCGATAATAATTCTGACCTGGATCATCGAAGTATGATGCAAACAACGGGGTAATGAACGGCTGTGCCTTATCAATTAATCTGTTCATAAAACAACCTGCAAGAGAAAGACTGACTTAAATCAACGATCACCTCTGCAAATATAGAGTACAAAAACACACTTAACAATAGATACAGTATACTGTATACACACAGATCATCACTCAAAAACAGATACAGTAGATATATATATATATATATATATATATACACACAAAGACCATCACATAACAACAGATACAGTCGATATATACTGTGTATATATATATATATATATATATATATATATATATATATATATATATATATATACAGTACCAGTCAAAAGTTTGGACACACCTACTCATTCAAGGGTTTTTCTTTATTTTTACTATTTTCTACATTCAGAGGGGACTGTGTGAATCAGGCCTTCATGGTCGATTTGCTGCAAAGAAAGGAAACTACTAAAGGACATCAATAATAAGAAGAGAACTGCTTGGGCCAAGAAACACGAGCAATTGACATTAGACCAGTGGAAATTCTATAAGTACTTTGGTCTAGAGTCCAAATTTGAGATTTTTGGGTCCAACTGGCATGTCTTTGTGAGACGCGGTGTGGGTGAACGTAAGATCTCTGCATGTGTGGTTCCCACCGTGAAGCATGGAGGAGGAGGTGTGATGGTGTGGGGGTGCTTTGCTGGTGACACTGTCTGTGATTTATTTAGAATTCAAGGCACACTTAACCAGCATGGGTATCACAGCATTCTGCAGCGATTCGCCATCCCATCTGGTTTGCGCTTAGTGGGACTATCATTTGTTTTTCAACAGGACAACGACCCAACACACCTCCAGGCTGTGTAAGGGCTATTTGACCAAGAAGGAGAGTGATGGAGTGCTGCATCAGATGACCTTACCTCCAAAATCACCCAACCTCAACCCAATTGAGATGGTTTGGGATGAGTTGGACCGCAGAGTGAAGGAAAAGCAGCCAACAAGTGCTCAGCATATGTGGGAACTCCTTCAAGACGGTTGGAAAAGCATTCCACGTGAAGCTGGTTGAGTGAATGCCAAGAGTGTGCAAAGCTGTCATCAAGGCAAAGGGTGGCTACTTTGAAGAATCTTAAAATACATTTTGATTTGTTTAACACTTTTTTGGTTACTACATGATTCCAAATGTGTTATTTCATAGTTTTGATGTCTTCACTATTATTCTACAAGATAGAAAATAGTAAAAAATAAAGAAAAACCCTTGAATGAGTAGGTGTGTCCAAACTTTTGACTGGTACTGTATATATATATATATACACACAGACCATCACATAACAATAGATACAGTCGATATATGGTCCTCTGTAGCTCAGCTGGTAGAGCACGGCACTTGTAACGCCAAGGTAGTGGGTTCGATCCCTGGGACCACCGATACACAAAAATGTATGCACGCATGACTGTAAGTCGCTTTGGATAAAAGCGTCTGCTAAATGGCATGTTATTATACACACCATCACATAAGGTATACACACTCAGCCACACATTTTATTCACCATCAAAATACTGTAATGACTGTTGGATATTGCCTCACCACTGACTTTGGAGTCCGTTGTCTCAAGCCAGCATTGAAGATATACATCTGTCATTTCAGCCATGAGTAGCTCTACTGTTGACACAAACAGAGAACTCATTCAATGGAAGTTATTTACATCCCCCCTATAGTTTATAATCATTTATTTCCCTGTCTTAAAATACCCATTGTCATTATAATGAAAATATTGATACGTACCGGTATTTGGTTGGACAATTGAGGAAACTCGTGGATATTGTGCCACTAGAAAACCCAGTGCTCATAATTAGATGGAATCATTACAATGTAATAATACTAAACTGTAATGAACTTAACTCACATAACAGAGGCAGGTACTGTTGGATGAACTGATCTACACAGCGGTAGGTAATTTTCCTACACATGCGGACAACACAACCTGCAACAAAAACAGGTTGGTTACCAGTAATAACGATTGAAAAGGCCCCAAAGACATCAGTTTTGATTTTGGGGGGAAATATTATAATATATTGTGTATCGTTGTTTTGATATTGCATGATGGAAAGTATTTGAGGCAGACGTACATACTTTATGATATATAAAATCTCAAGATGATCTAATCCAATGATGTATTAATGTATTATAACTAAGACACCTGGCATTGTCTTCCTCACCCTTGAGATGTTCTGTGGGGGCCTGTCCATGTGCGTCCATGCAGGCAGTGATACTCCTGGCACATGTCGTTTTCATACAGCCTGAAATATATATGAACAGGTTGATGACAACGCAATATAATTAAACCAGCATATGCTTTAGTGTACATGGAATAATATGGATAGCCTGGTAGCACATTTGTGGTCCTCCGTAGCTCAATTGGTAGAGCACGGCGCTTGTAACGCCAGGGTAGTGGGTTTCGAACCCCGGGACCACACATATGTAAAAATGTACGCACACATGACTGTAAGTTGCTTTGAATAAAAGCGTCTGCTAACTGGCATATTATTTGTTTTGTGTCTCATGCCAACTCCATTGTGATCACTGTCATGCCAAACATCAGACACAGACTTGCACTCATCCAATAATGATAACGTGGTTTACCGGTTATATCAGAATGGAGTCCTGGAAACTCTATCGTTCCACAGTCACCTGGAAGCCCAGCTAGAGGAGGAATGAGAGAGTGAGTGAAACATGCGCGCCTGCCTCAAGAATGTGTTTGTTAGATATGTAACATGGTAATAACTTTCATGATAATTTCTCTTTCACTTTCGAATGACAGCAGAGCGATTTAATGCTGTTTGGAAGGGCAAAGTAACACAGTCCAAACCTCAACCACATAAAAGCTAATGTTTCTCCATGTGTATTATCCACCACACCTTAGAGTGACGCTATGTGAGGACAAACAAAATGAACGGATGGTTTCGATACAGATACAATAGATAAAGCTGTTAAGCCAAATGTTACATTGTAATCACTGTAATAGCCTTATGCACAATACCATTAGAGTAAAAGTGGAATTACCACAGAGTTAAAGGAGAATTACCACAGATAAAAGGAGAATTACCACAGATAAAAGGAGAATTTCACAGAGTAAAAGTGGAAATACCACAGAGTAAAAGTGGAATTATCACAGAGTTAAAGGAGAATTACCACAGAGTAAAAGGAGAATTACCACAGAGTAAAAGGAGAATTATCACAGAGTAAAAGGAGAATTACCACAGAGTAAAAGGAGAATTACCACAGAGTAAAAGGAGAATTACCACAGAGTAAAAGGAAGAGTTAATGGAGAATTACCACAGAGTTAAAGGAGAATTACCACAGAGTAAAAGGAGAATTACCACAGAGTAAAAGGAGAATTACCACAGAGTAAAAGGAGAATTACCACAGAGTAAAAGGAGAATTACCACAGAGTAAAAGGAGAATTACCACAGAGTAAAAGTGGAATTAACACAGAGTAAAAGGAGAATTACCACAGAGTAAAAGGATAATTACCACATAGTAAAAGGAGAATGGTCGTAAGAGTCTCTCTCTGCATGGTTTCACTCAAGTCTGCTCTCAACCTGTTCACATTTAACAGAAATAAATAGACTATTAAAATACGAGAATATCTCTAAAAACCTAGAGAAAATGCAGAGACGTTTAGAAATTAATACCTGATTCAGCCCCTGAAAGTCAGTGTGGTGCGTTGAAAAGTGAAAGCGCATATGAGGCATTTGGTTTCAGTTATGAATTTACGACTGCGAATGCTGTGTTCATTTGACTAGCTGTATATATTTTTTACAAGCCATTTTCTGCAATTGACTCATATATTCAGATGAATTACTGGGATGACAAAGCTCTTTCAGTGATTGGTGGGGGACTGTCTGTATCAAAGGGCCAGCAAGAATGTTTCTTCTCCTAAGATATTTTTCATCCATCAATATGGCTACCCTACCTACAGTACCTGCACACAGGTCATTGCTTTCTCTCAAAGATGGGCTACTTTCCTGTGCAATGGTTAATCCCACTGAGGTTACACTGAGTATACCAAACATTAGGAAGAAGTTCCTAATATTAAGTTGCACCACCCCCCTTTTGCCCTGAGAACAGCCTCAATTCATCAGGGCATGGGGACCCACAACCCTGGCGTTGCAAACGCCATGCTCTATCAACTGAGATACATCCCTGCCGGCCATTCCCTCCCCTACGACGCTGGGCCAATTGCGCGCCGCCCCATAGGTCTCCCGGTCGCGGCCGGCTACGACAGAGCCTGGATTCGAACCAGGATCTCTAGTGGCACAGCTAGCACTGCGATGCAGTGCCTTAGACCACTGCGCCACTCGGGAGATCTACAAGGTGTTCAAATCAAATCGTATTGGTCACATACTCATATTTTGCAGATGTTATTGCGGGTGTAACGAAATGTGTTGTAAGTGTTCCACAGGGATGCTGGCCCATGTTGACTCCAATGCTTCCCACAGGGATGCTGGCCCATGTTGACTCCAATGCTTCCCACAGGGATGCTGGCCCCATGTTGACTCCAATGCTTCCCACAGGGATGCTGGCCCCATGTTGACTCCAATGCTTCCCACACAGTTGTGTCAAGTTGGCTGGATGTCCTTTGGGTGGTGGACCATTCTTAATACACATGGGAAACCATTGAATGTGAAAAACCCAGCAGCGTTGCAGTTCTTGACACAAACCGGTGCGCCTGGCACCTACTACCAAAACCCTGTTCAAAGGCACTTAAATATTTTGTCTTGCCCATTCACCCTCTGAATGGCACACATACCCAATCCATGTCTCAATTGTCTCAAGGCTTTAAAAATCCGTCTTTAACCTGTCTCCTCCCCTTCATCTACACTGATTGAAGTGGATTTAACAAGTGACATCAATAAGAGATCATAGCTTTCACCTGGATTCACCTGGTCAGTCTATGTCATGGAAAGAGCAGGTGTTCCTAATATTTTGTACACTCAGTATTTACTGTAGGTTCATCCACGGACATACAGTATGATATTGATACATTGTAGCAGAGTAGCTGGTGGTGAATGAGTGACCTCTGTCTGTGGGATGGAAGGATGGTCACACTTCTTTTTATTTTTTTGTGGGATGGTCATTGGGTGTATTCAGTACTCATTGCAACAGAAAACAATTACCATTTAAGAACCAAACAGAAGTAAACAGAACAAACGGAACTAAACGGGGAGGGACCTACATAAATTTGTCCAATAGAAAATCTCATTTTCGTTGCAAAACGTTTTTCGTTTGCAACAGACAAAACATTTTGCAACATAATCGGCATAATGAATAGACCCATCGTCACAAGTCAGAGAAAAACATTCAATTCAATTCAAAGGGCTTTATTGGAATGGGAAACATATGTTTACATTGCCAAAGCAAATTAAATAGATAATAAACAAAAGTGAAATAAACAATCAGAAATGAACAGTAAACATTACACTCACAAAAGTTTAAAAGGAATAGAGAAATTTCAAATGTCATGTTATGGCTATATATAGAGTGTTTTAACAATGTGAAAATAGTTGAAGTACAAAAGGGAAAATTAATTAACATAAATAAGGGTTGTATTAACAATGGTGTAGCTCAGTTTGCAACGCCAGGGTTGTGGGTCCCCCACAGGTGGTATGAAAGAAATAAAAAATAATGTATGCACTAACTAACTGTAAGTCGCTCTGGATAAGAGCGTCTGCTAAATGACTAAAATGTAAATGTAAATGTTTGTTCTTCACTGGATGCCCTTTTCTTGTGTGGCAACAGGTCACAAATCTTGCTGCTGTGATGGCACACTGTGGTATTTCACCTAATAGATATGAGAGTTTATCAAAATTGGAATTGTTTTTCAAATTATTTGTGGGTCTGTGTAATCTGAGGGAAAAATGTGTCTCTAATATGTTCATATATTTGGCAGGAAGTTAGGAAGTGCAGCTCAGTTTCCACCTCATTTTGTGGGCAGTGTGCACATAGCCCATCTTCTCTTGAGAGACAGGTCTGCCTATGGCGGCCTCTCTCAAAAGCAAGGCTATGCTCGCTGGCTGGCTGCTGGCTGGCTCACTGAGTCACTCTGTACAAAGTCGAAGTTTTACTTAATTATGGGTCAGTCACTGTGTACTTACTCTCTGTTTAGGGCCAAATAGCATTCCAGTTTGCTCCGTTTTTTGGGTAATTATTTCCAATGTGTCAACTAATTGTTTGTTTTCTCATGCTTTAATTGTGTTGCTGTCCTGGGGCTCTGTTTGTGTTAGTGAACAGAGCCCCAGGACCACCTTGCTTAGGGGACTCTTCTCCAGGTTCATGTCTCTGTAGGTGATGGCTTTGTTATGGAAGGTTTGGGACTCTGTGATGACGTAAATGCAACGCGTCACGGTTATGTTTCTAGCTAGTTTTCGTAAACAAAAAAAATATTCGAAAGGATTAAGCGAAACCATTGAAGTGAATATATATCGATGATAAAGAAAACTGTATCTATAATGTTGAGTATTAATGTTAGCTACAGTGTTATGCCATCCACCCCACCATTAGCTAGCTAGATTAACTATATGCTAGCTAACTTGCAGGCTAATGTGAAGGCTAGCTAGCTCGTTTTTAACAAAAATCTTCGCGTTCTCTCAAAAAAGTTTGATATTGAAGGAAGATTCATATTAAACGACAGGGAGTAGTGTTCTCCGTTTAAAAATGTTTACATGTTTGATATCCGTTATTAAATATGAAAAGAAGGACCGCGACGGACTAACCACGAATGAAGGAATGTAGCTAGCTAGCTAACGTTAGCTGGCTGGCGCTAGTAGGTGAGCTGTAGGTTGATTTGTTAACCAGCAAGCTATAGTGGTGTCAAGTTGAAGGACTCCACTGTCCGGTGCATTTTGAGTAGTCTGTTCCCCCGAAGATCGCATCGAGCTAACGTCAGCATCATCTCTCGATTTGCGGTCAAATGTAACTTTGACAATGATGCTGAAGATTCTCCACGTCCTTTCTACGCTAGGTCAGAGATTATTTTATGTTTTTGCTGTGTGCCTGATGAATATTTGATGTAATTTGTTCATTCTAGAACTAGCTTAGTATTTCAATGTGATCTTTGATGTGATGAGCAAGTGTCCTAACCTTGAGTGTAAAGGTACCGCTTTGTACTGTAGCAATGACTCTACAGTATCTTCATGATTATAGATCAAATGTACTGTTTTCCTCTCTCTTCCTCATGCTGTTCCCATACAGGCTGTGCTCTTGTTACTTGGAATGGAGTCAATGCAGACGGTGAATCGCTCAGAATGATACACTCTGCAGATGGCGTGTCGTTCATCCGGCTAGTCAATGGGGACAGTGAGTGTTCGGGGCGTGTGGAGGTACTCCAGAGGAACCAGTGGGGGACGGTGTGTGACCACGGCTGGGACCTGAGGGAGGCTGACGTGGTGTGCCTGGAGCTGGGCTGTGGGCTGGCCGAGAACGCTCTCCGTGGAGCTGCGTTTGGCAGGGGCACCAGAAAGATCTGGCTGAGGAACGTCCAGTGCTCTGGCCACGAGGCGAGCCTGACGCGATGTCCCAGGGTCCTCCACAGTTACCTCACCTGCACTCATGATAATGACGCTGGGGTCAAATGCTCAGGTGAGACTGAGGCCCAGGAGGATAGCCTGGTACCAAACGGTTTAAACAGATCCCCAGGCGACAGGAGGCAAGGACACCTCCTATACTAGTGAGGATTTGTTATGGGACAGAAAACATTTCCATGTTGGAATACATATGAACAATGGTAACGGTTAACAATTGATAATATACGTGTGGTGTGACTGTGTTTTTGTTGTTGTTGTTGAGACAATGTATGTGGCTAGGAACTATCCCTAATGGGTATATAACATACCGTTGTCCCTGACAGGTACACTGTTGATGCCCACGCTGTCCCTGCTCTCCCCTCACACTGTCTTCTCTGCCGGGGAGACGGTTCGCTTCAGCTGTACTGTGCTACTGGGCCACCACCTGAATGACTTCCATCTGTATAAGAGGGGCATAGCCACCCCGTTGGTGACTCAGAGGGTGGACTCTGCCCAGACCAGGGTGGAGCTGACTCTGTCAGACCTGGAGACGACCCACCAGGGCAGCTACAGCTGTCTGTACAGGATCAAGGGCAGCTCTCCCTCCTCCCTGCTCAGCTCTCCACCCAGCAACTCTATCAACATCACTGTGGGTGAGTCATCTAGGGGCCTGTTCAGTTAGTAAGACACAAAATGGAAGAAAACAAAAGTGATTTGCTACCGGTATGCTCTAACGTTCAGTTGGGCACACCATAGCAAAATGTTTTGCAACATAAAAGGGTGTTTTTATTGGACAGGTTTGGGACAGATAATAGTACCTCCTCGTTTCACTCCATTTCAAAACATGTTCTCCTTCCTGAACACTTCACTCTCATCTTCTATCATTTTGGTTTTGTCTTGAGGTCCTGACATCTTTTCCAGGGAAAAAAACAACTTGTTTTGTCATTTGGATCTATCCTGTAACTCAATGACAGTCAAATTGACCCCCCCCCCCCCCCCCCCCCCCCGTCTCCCTCCCATCTCTCCAGTGGAGCTGCACACCCCTCAGCACTGGTACAACACGTCCATCGAGGCTCCCACAGGCTCTGTCATCAAAGGCCACAGCTTCACCATCACCTGCTCCGCCGAGCAGCAGTACCCTGGAGGTAGCTTGATTGATTTATTGGGATTCATTTTACAATTTAAGAAAATACTAATTGGGCTGGTTTCTTGAAAAGATTGTACCTAGTCCTGGACTAAAAAGTAATTTCAATTGAGATTCTCCAGTCAGCAAGCTTTTTAGTCTAGGGCTAAGCTGTGTACAGGAAACCTGTCCATAGAGCCAATAACAAGCAGTACATAGCTACAGTTAAAAAACGATCAAGTCATATTATCTTATTTTCCTTACTAAGGGTCTTTCCAGCTGCGTCTGATCCGTTCCAACGGCACGGTGCGCCAGTCGCTGCCCGCCCTCTCTCCCTCCGTCACCTTCACCTTCTCAAACGCACAGCGCTCCAACGAGGGCTACTATTACTGCCTCTACAGGGTCCAGCTGGGCGGGAGAACCTTCGTGTCCCGGGAGAGCCAACCGCTCCCCATCTCCATCAGAGGTAAGGGCGTGCTACTCAGCATCTAAGGCAGTAGCCTGGTCCCCAGATGTGTTTGTGCTGTATGGCCTACTCCTATGGTTGTTGAGTTGCCGAGACAACACAAACATATCTGGAACCAGGCTACTAGGGCACCACAATGCCTCAGGCCTCGTGGATTGGATCGATTTAGAACTGTTATCTGAATGTATTTTTTTGTTGTTGTCATGGATTATCACATTCTTCAATTCTAATGCAAAGAAACAAACACTGAGATGATCATACAAATAGATTGTCTAGTGTTGTAATGAATGATACGATATACACTCTAATGTAAACTGTTTATTTTCCATTTTCATATATAATGACTGGTTGTGGCTATAAATTTACATTTTAGTCATTTAGCAGACGCTCTTATCCAGAGCGACTTACAGTTAGTGAGTGCATACATTTTCATACTGGCCCCCCGTGGGAAACGAACCCACAACCCTGGCGTTGCAAGCGCCACGCTCTACCAATATTCATGTTTGTTTGTTGTACATCGTTGGTTGCGTCCACCCCCTCAGACCTGGAAGATATCAACCGTAATATAAAACATTGATCACTTCTCATATTGTCTGTCTGTCCATCTGGGTTGTGTCCTCCTCATCAGACCCAGACCCAGTGTTGAGCCCTATGGTGATCAGCTGGCTGGCGTCTGCTCTGACCTTCCTCGTGGCTGTCCTCATCATCATCATCGTTGTTGCCAGAGTGCTCTGCAAGAGACAGAAGAAACCCTCGGAGCTAGAGAGAGAGACCAGAACCTGTGAGTCCTTGTCTTGTATAATTCCCTTCCCACTCCTAGCTTTAGCCTAGAATCCAGGTTGGGGTGAGTTCCATTTCCATTCCAGTCAATTCAGAAAGTAAAACCAATTCCACATTTTCCTAATTGAAAGGTATTGAAGAGAATATGAATTTTATTGTTCTTCCTGAACGTAAATGGAATTGACCCTAACCCTGTTGGAATCCAAACTGATATGCTCAGAAACAATGGTGAAACAGTGCATATCAGTTTGGATTCCTGGCTATCTTCGCTTACCACTGTCAAGATAATTTAGAAGAATCATCCTGTAAAACCATGAACACACTGACAAGGCCATTTATTTACATGTCTGATTTGACCAACAGGTGTGGACAACACATACGTTGCCTTAGCAATAAAATTGTGAGATGGGAAGATGGTGTATATTTGGAGGAGGACCATGTGTTTGTGAGAGGACCATTAAGATGGAACCCTCGACGCAGACATTCCTGAGCTGACAACCTTCCTCAGGGATGGGTCGGGAGCACAGACATTCCTGAGCTGACAACCTTCCTCAGGGATGGGTCGGGAGCACAGACATTCCTGAGCTGACAACCTTCCTCAGGGATGGGTCGGGAGCACAGACATTCCTGAGCTGACAACCTTCCTCAGGGATGGGTCGGGAGCACAGACATTCCTGAGCTGACAACCTTCCTCAGGGATGGGTCGGGAGCACAGACATTCCTGAGCTGACAACCTTCCTCAGGGATGGGTCGGGAGCACAGACATTCCTGAGCTGACAACCTTCCTCAGGGATGGGTCGGGAGCACAGACAGAGATGGAGACGACACAAGACAAGTACCAAAGCACTATACAGGAGCCATAGACACGACACGCCTCAGTCTCTCACCAGCTACTAGAACCTGGTAGAATCCGGCATTAGAACATGACAACAGCACTTGTAGGTAGAATAATTGTTAAGCCATCATCTACATACCAGGCACACTGTAATAAACACCACAATCAACTATAAAAGGACTGACCCTTTTGGACACGTTGGCCTCTCTGGACCAGTTCTCATGCCAAGATCAGTTACAACTGACAATTATGGACATGAAATAGAGCAGTGTGTTCCAATGATTGGACAATTATGGACATGAAATAGAGCAGTGTGTTCCAATGATTGGACAATTATGGACATGAAATAGAGCAGTGTGATCCAATGATTGGACAATTATGGACATGAAATAGAGCAGTGTGATCCAATGATTGGACAATTATGGACATGAAATAGAGCAGTGTGTTCCAATGATTGAAAGTGTTTAAAGATCCAATGCAGCTGTTTTTTTTTTTAAATCTCTAATCAAATAATTTCTGGGAAACAATTAAGTTACCTTACTGGGATTGTTTTCAAATAAAATGGTCAAAAAGAAACAAAAATAGCTTCTTGGCAAAGAACCATTTCTCAAGCAATAATTTTGCTAGGACTGTCTGGGAGTGGTCTGAGTGGGGAAACTGAAAACGAGTTGTTATTGGCAGTGAGGTTTGGAACTCTTTCTTATTGGTCTATTAACTCATTTACCGCCTGGTGAGGTCACCAGGCAGGTCAAATCTCCAACCCACCAAAACAGGCTGAAATTTCAGGTGGTATTTTCCAACAGCTCTTACACTAAAAGGGTATTATCATTTTCACAATTTCACAGTATTATTCCAACCTCATAGTGTGGAAATATATATAAAACACAGGAAAATCACATTTGACTGCACTGGGCCTTTAAATTATGGTTGAATAAGACTGACGGTCAATTGAAAACTATTTCACGATTGACGTCAACAAGAGAACAGTGGACACTTGTTGGACTGAAGAAAGATTCACTTAGGCTTGGCAGCTCCACTCCTGATTTGGTGGAGTAGTTTGATAGCCTGGTCTACGATCTGTTTGTGCTGTCTTGCCGCTGTTGGTGAGACAATGACGACAGACGGCACAAACAGATCTGGGACCAAGCTAGGAGTTTGATACTGGTACTAAGCCTGAAAGTTTGACTGTGAAACTCATCATTTAGTTCTCTTCAGGTTTGTTGTTAATATGTTGTGTTTTTACACTATTAGTTTAATTCATTTTTATTTTATTTATTACAAGACAGCACTGTAAATTAACAGGAGGCTACATCAAGGATCATGAATTCTTGCTTTTATAGATAGCGATCCATGGTTAGAGAAATGTCTAATAATGTTGCAGTAGAGGTGACCCTAACGACCGTAGTTGGCAAGGCAGCACTAACAGATCCGGGACCATCTTGCTGATTGTTGTGATGTAGCCTCGGAAGCTCAGGCTTCGCTCGATCTGCAAGGATGACTTTGCGAGGCAAGTTGTTGATGTCCATCTCAGTTAGAGACTAGTTAAGGTCCATCTCCAATAGAGACTAGTACACCCTCTGTAGTATCTAGAATCTATGGGGTTTTACATTTCACTCGGCAATGAATGACCACATTCACCGATATCACTAAGTTCTATTCACTGTGTGTAGCTGGGAACAAATTACAAAATAATGCATTACGTTCTGTTATCACAGGTTTTTTAATCTTCTACTAACCCCTAATTCAAGTTAAATAAAGAAATGGCAAACCATTTTTGATTATAAAAACATTTTATTTTAAAGTTGGAGAATCATAGGAATTACTCAGTGGCTGGATACAAAATATCTGAACAGTCAGAAATATCTACGTAAACAGTTACTGTCCTGCTGAGAAGTATTTTCACTTGTAGACTGAGTATTTCCTAAATGGCATCCTATTGGCTATAGAGGAATAGTGTGCCATTTTCCTATTGGCTATAGAGGAATAGTGTGCCATTTTCCTATTGGCTATAGAGGAATAGTGTGCCATTTTCCTATTGGCTATAGAGGAATAGTGTGCCATTTTCCTATTGGCTATAGAGGAATAGTGTGCCATTTTCCTATTGGCTATAGAGGAATAGTGTGCCATTTTCCTATTGGCTATAGAGGAATAGTTTGCCTTATAGGATGCTTTATAAACACTGTGTGACCAAAGTGATCTCTGATAAAACAGTGTCTGGAAACGTACAAAAAGTGAGTATTACAAATGATACTGCAGGTGTAGAAACATTTAAAATAAAAAAAATAAAAAGCAGGAAGCAGTGGCATGTATTATGGTGAAGTCAGGAATAACACCAGAACATCTAACAAAACCACAACTCACATTACACACCAAACATTTAAAATGACAATACACACCGACCACAGCAATTGCATTTCTATAAATGTATATGGATAGAATCATTAACAGTTCAAAATGCTAAGGCACTTCATTTAGAATTTTAATGTCATTGCCATTACCAAGTCATACCAAATAGCCAGTACCAAGTCATACCAAATAGCCAGTACCAAGTCATACCAAATAGCCAGTACCAAGTCATACCAAATAGCCAGTACCAAGTCATACCAAATAGCCAGTACCAAATCGTAGTATTTCTGATTGATATATAGTATTTGGTAAATGCATTTACTGTGGGCATTATACATTTGTGAAGATGATCAAGATAGTACTGTGAGTAAAAAAGTGGCATCACTATTACCCATAGTAGAAGCATCCTATTTTGGTAAGGTAGTTGTATGATAAAACACAATACTATACATCACCATCTAGTAACTACATAGGAGTTGGGATGGAAGGAAACGTTAATCGCTTTCCTTTCACCAATAGTAAAGTTACCAGCACCCAATGTCAGTCACCTTATATAAAGAACACACAAAAATAGTTAAAAGAATGGCAGGCATGGGATGTGCCATAATATATTCGTAAAATATTTAAAAACTTTGTCGTATTCATTAGGACACACGTAGTGAAACATTTAAAAACAAAATTGTTCAAATGGAAAACGATTGATTCTTACAGGACAAGTTCAAATAGTACTTCCCCCATCTTGGACCGTTTACTTCCGTTTCTTGCCTAATGAACACGTCCCAGATTTACATTTATCTGTAAATTTGATCATTGGATTCTGTTAAAGGGGCTACTCTCTGCGGACTCCATGCTAGTGAATAAGAAGTAGAGGAAGCCAGCTACAATCAGGAAGACCAGGAACTGGATCCAGAGAGGGATCAGTCTCCCAGAGCTCGCTTTTCTTTCCGCCTTCACAACGCCACCTCCAGGCTTCACCACAGGCGTTGGTTTGGAGTAGGACGAGGAGGGATGACTGTGTGTTGTAGACATGGGGCCTGAAAACAGGGGGGGGGGATTTAGCTTCAAAACATGACTACATTCAGGTATGTGATCAGGACAACATAGAAAAGCAGGCTCTTAGTTTGGGGAGAGGTCTGTTTTTATACAGAGCCTTCCGAAAGTATTCATATCCCTTGACTTATTCCACATTTTGTTGTTTTACAGCCTGAATTCAAAATTGATTAAATTGGTTCTTTTTCTCACCCATCTACACACAATACCCAAGAATAGTATGATATAAAAAAATAAAATAATAAGTGCACACATTTTTTTGAAAATGAAATACAGAAATCTAATTTACGTAAGTATTCACACCCCTGAGTCAATACATGTTAGAATCACATTTGGCAGTGATTACAGCTGTGAGGCTTTCTGGGTAAGTCTAAGAGCTTTGCACACCTGGATTGTAAAAAAAATTGCACACTTTTTACAATTCTTCAAGCTCTGTGAAGTTGGTAGTTGATCATCGCTAGACCGCCATTTATGTCTTGCCATAGATTTTCAAGCCGATTTTATGTCAAAACTGTAACTAGGCCTCTCAGGAACATTCAATGTCATCTTGGAAAGCAACTCCCGTGTATATTTGGCCTTGTGTTTTAGGTTATTGTCCTGCTGAAAGGTGAATTCATCTCCCAGTGTCTGTTGGAAAGCAGACAACCAGGTTTTCCTCTAGGATTTTGCCCGTGCTTAGCTCTATTCTGTTTCTTTTTATCCTAAAAAACTCCCTAGTCCTTGCCGATGACAAGCATACCCATAACATGATGCAGCCACCACCAAGCTTGAAAATATGAAGTGGTACTCTGATGAGTTGGATTTGCCCCAAACATAACACTTTGTATTCAGGACATAAAGTTAATTTCTTTGGCACCTTGTTTGCAGTTTTACTTCAGTGGCTTGTTGCAAACAGGTTTGCATGTTTTGGAATATTTGTATTCTATACAGGCTTCCTTCTTTTCACTCTGTCATTTAGGTTAGGTGCCCTTCTTTGTGAGGCATTGGAAAACCTCCCTGGTCTTTGTGGTTGAATCTGTTTGAAATTGAGTGCTCGACTGAGGGACCTTACAGATAATTGTATGTGTGGGGTACAGAGAAGAGGTAGTCATTCAAAATAATTTTAAAACACTATTGCACACACAGTGAGTCCATGCAACTTATGTGGCTTGTTAAACACATTTTTACTCCTGAACGTATTTAGGCTTGCCATAACAAAGGGGTTGAATAAATATTGACTTAAGACATTTCAGCTTTTCATTTTTAATTAATTTGTAAAAATTTCTACAAACATAATTCCACTTTGACATTATGGGGTATTGTGTGTAGGCCAGTGACAACGTCTCCATTGAATCCATTTAAAATTCAGGCTGTAAAAAGTCAAGGGGTGGGAATACTTTCTGCAAAACTCAGCAAAAAAAGAAACGTCCTCTCACTGTCAACTGCGTTTATTTTCAGCAAACTTAACGTGTAAATATTTGTATGAACATAACAAGATTCAACAACTGCGACACAAACTGAACAAGTTCCACAGACATGTGACTAACAGAAATGGAATAATGTGTCCCTGAACAAAGGGGTGGTCAAAATCAAAAGTAACAGTCAGTATCTGGTGTGGCCACCAGCTGCATTAAGTACTGCAGTGCATCTCCTCCTCATGGACCGCACCAGATTTGCCAGTTCTTGCTGTGAGATGTTACCCCACTCTTCCACTAAAGCACCTGCAAGTTCCCAGACATTTATTGGGGGAATGGCCCTAGCCCTCACCCTTCCGATCCAACAGGTCCCAGACGTGCTCAATGGGATATAGAGATCCGGCCTCTTCGCTGGCCATGGCAGAACACTGACATTCCTGTCTTGCAGGAAATCACGCACAGAACGAGCAGTATGGCTGGTGGCATTGTCATGCTGGAGGGTCATGTCAGGATGAGCCTGCAGGAAGGGTACCACATGAGGGAGGAGGATGTCTTCCCTGTAACGCACAGCGTTGAGATTGCCTGCAATGACAACAAGCTCAGTCCGATGATGCTGTGACACACCGCCCCAGACCATGACGGACCCTCCACCTCCAAAATCGATCCCGCTCCAGAGTACAGGCCTCGGTGTAACGTTCATTCCTTCGACGATAAACGCGAAACCGACCATCACCCCTGGTGAGACAAAACCGTGACCTGTCAGTGAAGAGCACTTTTTGCCAGTCCTGTCTGGTCCAGCGACGGTGGGTATGTGCCCATAGGCGACATTGTTGCCGGTGATGTCTGGTGAGGACCTGCCTTACACCAGGCCTACAAGCCCTCAGTCCAGCCTCTCTCAGCCTATTGTGGACAGTCTGAGCGCTGATGGAGGGATTGTGCGTTCCTGGTGTAACTCGGGCAGTTGTTGTTGCCATCCTGTACCTGTCCCGCAGGTGTATGTACCGATCCTGTGCAGGTGTTGTTACACGTGGTCTGCCACTGCGAGGACGATCAGCTGTCCGTCCTGTCTCCCTGTAGCGCTGTCTTAGGCGTCTCACAGTACGGACATTGCAATTTATTGCCCTGGCCACATCTGCAGTCCTCATACCTCCTTGCAGCATGCCTAAGGCACGTTCACGCAGATGAGCAGGGACCCTGGGCATCTTTCTTTTGGCTTTTTTCAGAGTCAGTAGAAAGGCCTCTTTAGTGTCTGTAAGCTGTTCGCGTCTTAACGACCGTTCCACAGGTGCATGTTCATTAATTGTTTATGGTTCATTGAACAAGCATGGGAAACAGTGTTTAAACCCTTTACAATTAAGATCTGTGAAGTTATTTGGATTTTTACAAAGTTTCTTTTTTTGCTGAGTTTATATGAATGGAGGATAAATGTCAGAGAAGCAGGAATCACATCTCTGAACATCAGCCTGGTTTCAGATCTGTTTGTGCTGCATTGCCAGCTCGTATGGTTGTTTTCGGCATGATAATGACCATAGGACTTGGCAAGACCGCAACAGATCTAGGACCAGGCTATGAAAACATGTATTATACATAAACAATGTGAAATCTGTCTAAACAAGACTCACTCATCAACGTACTGTCTTCCGCTGCTGTACTCTGGCCTTGATCTTGAATAGAGTTTCCTGCAAAGGAGAGAGAAAAAAAAAAAAAGTTTTATTGGTCCACTTTAAATCAACTGACCACACAAACACTGGATAACATCACAACACTTACTAATGCAAAGCAATCCGTAAACAAACATACTCATCCACCAAGTCCCTGTCACTGTACTCTGGTCTTGACCTCATGTAGGGTTCCCCATCTCCAGAAGGCCACTCACTTCTAACCTGCAAATATGAGAAACAGAAGAATATTGATGGTAAGACATTCTCCGTCTACAAAAGGACACGTTGTAGAAGCCAACTGCGAACAAATCAAATCAACCCCATGGTTGGATACTTACTGGTGTCCGATAGTTAACGTAGCTGACTTCTTCCCCTGAAATGAAGAAAATAAGTAAACCAACATTCCTGATTTTCGCTTTAGTTCAGTCTAATGGTTAGATGTATTGCCTGTGTATTAATTAGCATTGTGTTATCATGCATGTCTAACTCACGCTCCTCTCTGTAGAAGGTTCTGTCTGGGGATGGTTTAGTCACGGTGACCTTGTCTTTGACCATGGCCTCTTTCAGCTTCTTCTCATACAGGTGTCTTGTAGACTCTCCAAAATGCAGAAATGTTAGATGTGGCTCAGTAACGCAATTAAACCATAGTTACATGACTATTAGAATATCATCAGTATATTTGAGACTGGTCATAGAAATGTAGTCTATTAGGCAGGCCTACTCAGTAGACTAGGAATTTGTAGCGAAGTGAGCTAGCTAACGTTAGCTAAACTAAACTTACCCAGCCCATGTGTTGTAACGTTAAAAACATAGGCTGGCCTAGACGACTAAACTCAACTCCACGATTAACGACGGCGTTCCGCGGCAACTAGCATGGGAGGACTGGAGCTCCGACATTACATAAAAATGATTTTTTATTTTTTATTTTTTTACTACGTATTATTTTATTTTAAATGACGCCGGAGCTCCAGTCCGCCCACACTAGTAAACGCTCAACTCCATAGTAAATCGTTGAGTCTAGTCGGCTAGGGTTGGGTAAATGTAGTTATACAACGGGTGTCTAATCCTGGATGCTGATTGGTTAAAAGCGCATTCCAGCCGGTGGCTATTCCACAAGTTACCACCGGTTAAATCTATGACGTTAAAATGCCTATTTACTCCGTTCCATCTGATTGCGCAATCCACTGTCTCATCAGCCCAGGCAGGGAAATTATAAACTTGATCTCCACTATAAAAAGCATTAGACATTATTTCATTTCTTTTAGACTAACATTTAGTTTTTATCAGCGGAGATTTGTATAAACCTTAGTTTCTGTCTCTCCCACATTTGCAACATTGTTTCAATATTCAAATTCGATCTCCAACTGCCCCATAGTAACGAATGAACGAGTCGGGGTCGGGACGAGAGAGAGGCAGGCAGCGGTTCTCAGCCAGTCGAAATCATGAATCAGCTGGCATCATTTTTATGGATATATACAAAGAAATGTCAATTGAAAAAAAGGGAAAACGAAAGTAAGCTAGTTTTAAATCTTTCCAGCTTCAGTTTGAAGTGATTGCGTTAGCTGTGTTGTTGGCTAGCTCCTCTGAACAACAGTGTCCTGACAGTGAGCACATTTTCTATGCCAGGCGAAATCGCGCCTCATCAGCTCATTGTTATGGATGTTTCCAAATAAATGTCACTAGAAAACAGCTTAAACAAATGCAGCTACTGTTGTTATTCTGGCTGCACTTTTTGACGTGACCGTATTATGTTCCATTGACATACTGGCTGGCAACGTTCTTATCACTTGCGAACTAGCAAACTACGGCTAACTTACAGACTGCAGGCCAGTATGGCAATGGACCATTTAAAACGAACGACTGGGTCGCGTCCATAGATACAGAACCAAAAGACTGAACGACTGGGTCGCGTCCATAGATACAGAACCAAAAGACTGAACGACTAGGTCGCGTCCATAGATACAGAACCAAAAGACTGAACGACTGGGTCGCGTCCATAGATACAGAACCAAAAGACTGAACGACTAGGTCGCGTCCATAGATACAGAACCAAAAGACTGAACGACTGGGTCGCGCTCTGGCAACCGAACCAATAGAAAGAACGACCAGCCGGCTTGGGTATCAACACTAGATTTGTTTCGGGACTTGTGGAAGGATGAAATAGTGTGAATAAATTCATCAAAATAACGTTTTTAATGAAAATGTCAATCATTATTTGAATATGTTGGTAACCCGTTGTATAAAAGTGATAATGCCCTCGAAGCCGGTGTTTGAAGGATATATTGGATATATTAGCTAACAACACCCGTGCCAATATATCCTCCAAACACAGGCTTCTCGGGCATTATCACTTAACGTTAACTAGCTAACGTTAGCTAATTCAGAAAGCAAAGCATGACTTACCAACGACAGGCCCGTGCTTAATTCCATACCCATCCAGCAGTTCCCTGATTTCTTGATCAGACTTAATTCTCATTGTGGTCATATTGTCGGCGATATATTTGTAGCTACTCTGATTGAAACAGAAAATTACTCGTGTTGACTAACAGTTACAGTTTAATTTCCAAAAATCAACGTTCTGTCGCCACACACTTCCACACAACATTCCTATTTTGTTTCCGGTATATCACCTTATACCACGCCCTTCTTCTTCTTCTTCTTCTTCTTCTTCAGTGGGGTTTATGGGCGGTTGGCATCCAACGTTATGGTACATTACCACCACCTACTGTACTGGAGTGAGGGCTAGAGACAGGGAGAAACTAAATCCTACCTGCCAGCCCCTTTGCTCTTAAAAAATATAAAATATTTGAGACTATATCTAATGACGTTCTACTCAATATATTCTTTCCCCTTCTCCCAGGTAGCTTAGTGGGTAAGAGCATTGTGCCAGTAACCGAAAGGTCGCTGGTTCTAATCTCTGAGCCGACAAGGTGAAAAATCTGTCGATGTGCTCTTAACCCTAATTGCTCTGGATAAGAGCGTCTGCTAAATGACTAAAATGTAAATGTCATACTAGATCTCATCTTCCCTCTGATACTGCCCACACTGTAGCAATACATGCTCCACGGTCTCTGTTTCCTGACAATAATCACGCTTTCCTATCACATTTAATGTCTTATTCAAATGGCTGTGTCCCACCCTTAATCTTGTAAAAAATAGCCTCCTCTCTTCTGACCCTTCCTGCCGTCCTCTCTGGTCCTCTGTAGCTCAATTGGTAGAGCACGGCGCTTGTAACGCCAGGGTAGTGGGATCGATCCCCGGGACCACCCATGCGTAAAAATGTATGCACACATGACTGTAAGTCGCTTTGGATAAAAGCGTCTGCTAAATGGCATATTATATTGTTATACTTGAAATAAATGCCTTCCCTTATTATCTCTATTCCACTGCTCCTGCCATCTCTGCACCATCACTGTATATATCAGTCTTTTTGCCTCCTCCTTGCTCATTGAAACTTCAACATCAACATCCCCACTACTAAGTGCTTGTTTAGCCAGTTCATCTACTTCCTCGTTCCTCTCCACCCCCACATGGGCTGGGACCCAAGTCAGTCTTATCTGAATACCCATCTGTTTAATCCTGCCATGAGTTTGTAGCACCTCATGAAGCAGGTCTTGTCTGCTACGTGAGCTAAAGGACTGGAGACTCACATGAATCAGAGCACATAACTACTCTGTCTTGTTTGACTTCCTCCACCCACTGCAAGGCCAACAGTATGGCCATCAGCTCTGCCGTATATACAGCCAGATGATCTGTAATACGTTTCCTGACTTCCACCCCACATTCCTGCACTACAAATGCTGACCCAGTACGTCCTGTCATGACAACAATGTAAATGTGTAAATGGCCACAAAATCCTGATACACAGTATCCAGACATCTCTTAAACAAATCAGATGGATCAACACTCTCCCTATCTTTCTGTAGTCTTTCCAACACTTCTAGATCAACTACTGGAGGCGGGAGTAGCCATGGTGGATTTACAGGAATAACTACCGTTGGACTAAACTCCCTTCCATACAGTCCCATCTCCTTCGCCTGGGTATTACCCACCCACCCAGCTCTTCTTCTTCTTCTTCTTCTTCTTCTTCTTCTTCTTCTTCTTCTTCTTCTTCTTCTTCTTCTTCTTCTTCTTCTTCTTCTTCTTCTTCTTCTTCTTCGCTGGGTTTTATGGCGGACTACAACCTTTTAACAGCTGCTGCATATGAAATGCTCTGGACAGCCCTGACTTTGGCCACCTCATTCTCTTTCACCCTTGTTGGGTAATCGAAAGATGTAGCTTCATGGTTCCCACCACAGTTGCAACATGTCACATTTTCCTCACTTTTAAAACACATTATATGATATTTTCCACAACTTGGACATCTCGGCTTCTCCCTTCTGCAAACACTTGAAACATGACCAAAAGCTTTACAATGATCACACTGCATTGGTCTTGGGATAAATGCTCTGACTCTGTAGTTTATATAACCCAACTGCACTTGAGTAGGGAGAGACTCCATATCAAAAAACTAAAGAACAGATAGACTCTTCACTTTTTCACCATTCACCACACGATTCATCCGATGTGCATCAATCACTCCAGGCTGTATCACCGCCTGGTACGGCAACTGCACCGCCCGCAACCACAGGGCTCTCTAGAGGGTGGTGCGGTCTGCCGAACGCATTACCGGGGGCAAACTACCCGCCCTCCAAGACACCTACAGCACATGATGTCACAGGAAGGCCAAAAAGATCATCAAGGACATCAACCACCCGAGCCACTGCCTGTTCACCCCGCTATCATCCAGAAGGCGAGGTCAGTACAGGTGCATCAAAGCTGGGACCGAGAGAATGAAAAACAGCTTCTATCTCAAGGCCATCAGACTGTTAAATAGCCATCACTAGCACATTAGAGGCTGCTGCGGCCTATTGAAACCACTGGCAACTTTAAGAAATGGAACACTAGTCACTTTAATAATGTTTACATATCTTGCACTACTCATCTCACATGTATATACTGCATTCTGTTCTATAATATTCTACTGTATCTTAGTCCATGCCGCTCTGTCATTGCTTGTCCATATATGTATATATTCTTAAATTCCATTCCTTACTAGATTTGTGTGTATTGGGTATATGTTGTGAAATTGTTAGATATTACTTGTTAGATATTACTGCACTGTCGGAGCTAGAAGCACAAGCATTTCGCTACACCCGCAATAACATCTGCTAAACACGTGTATGTGACAAATACAATTTGATTTTATTTGAATATTTTCCATCTCTTCAAAATCGACTTCCCACGAGACGCCAGATATAACCCCCTTGAGGGGTGCCCTGTTCCAAAGAGACACTTCAAATTTATCAAATCGTGTGAGACGCAACGCATGTTCCTTCTGATCCGCAGAAGCACAAAAAAAAAACAAGCACGCCTCTCATGATCCTCACTCTACCCAGCACTCTCTCCACCTGTTTGGATATCTCAAATAGTTTCTTCCAGATTGGTAATCTGTTCAGCTGCTCCTCATTAACAAACCATACTCCTACTAGATACATTTGTTCTTACATTTTAGTCATTTAGCAGACGCTCTTATCCAGAGCGACTTACAGGAGCAATTAGGGTTAAGTGCCTTGCTCAAGGGCACATTGACAGATTTTTCACCTAGTCGGCTCGGGGATTAGAACCAGCGACCTTTCGGTTACTGGCACTACGCTCTTAACCACTAAGCTACCTGCCGGGACATTCTCATCACTGTACACTACTTACCTCCGTTTTCCGTTATTTTGAACAATACTCCAATTCTCCTTGATTCTACCGCCTACCACGCCCCCTCGGGCCTTATTGCTTAATTCACCACAACACAATCACAACAATACATACCACTTGTTACAAAATGAAAAGTTGGGGGGAAAAAAAGTGTCTGTAAAAGTTATGCAGTTATGATTCTAACTGTGTCCCAATTAATCAGTCAATGAATTAGTAAAATTGCCCTGTAATTCTAGATGATAGAGAGCATTTGATAAAAGCTTTATAGTATAATAATAACATACCAACTCCAGGATTCTATGAGATGCTCACAACATTATGTATTTACAGAGCCGCTGACATTGTGAGTTATGTCAAACCAATATTAGGAGTGATGTCAGTTATACTGTTTGCTGTGACATTATGGGGTGCATCCTTTCTAACCCCCAGCCAAGAGATCATTTTGACCTGTCTTTTCAACATGAGTACAGCATGACATACTTTATTTCTGTCCTGCTATTTAAAAAAAAAAACAATCAACAAGTGCAAGAATAACAAGAAAAATAACCCTTTAGAGAAGTGGAAGGTTATGCATCCTGATGTTAATGATGTACTAATATATTTAGGGCACATAGGGTATGTATTATTTTGCATATGTTATTTGTAAATAGTTCAATAAAGTTTTCTACTTGTAAAATAAATACATATATATACACTGCTCAAAAAAATAAAGGGAACACTAAAATAACACATCCTAGATCTGAATGAATGAAATAATCTTATTAAATACTTTTTTCTTTACATAGTTGAATGTGCTGACAACAAAATCACACAAAAATTATCAATGGAAATCAAATGTATCAACCCATGGAGGTCTGGATTTGGAGTCACCCTCAAAATTAAAGTGGAAAACCACACTACAGGCTGATCCAACTTTGATGTAATGTCCTTAAAACAAGTCAAAATGAGGCTCAGTAGTGTGTGTGGCCTCCACGTGCCTGTATGACCTCCCTACAACGCCTGGGCATGCTCCTGATGAGGTGGTGGATGGTCTCATTTTACATTTACATTTTAGTCATTTAGCAGACGCTCTTATCCAGAGCGACTTACAGGAGCAATTAGGGTTAAGTGCCTTGCTCAAGGGCACATCGACAGTTCACCTAGTCGGCTCGGGGATTAGAACCAGCGACCTTTCGGTTACTGGCACAACGCTCTTACCCACTAAGCTACCTGCCGCCCGTTCTATAAGATGCTCTCCACTAAGCTACCTGCCGCCCGTCTCCTGAGGGATCTCCTCCCAGACCTGGACTAAAGCATCTGCCAACTCCTGGACAGTCTGTGGTGCAACGTGGCGTTGGTGGATGGAGCGAGACATGATGTCCCAGATGTGCTCAATTGGATTCAGGTCTGGGGAACGGGCGGGCCAGTCCATAGCATCAATGCCTTCCTCTTGCAGGAACTGCTGACACACTCCAGCCACATGAGGTCTAGCATTGTCTTGCATTAGGAGGAACCTAGGGCCAACCGCACCAGCATATGGTCTCACAAGGGGTCTGAGGATCTCATCTCGGTACCTAATGGCAGTCAGGCTACCTCTGGCGAGCACATGGAGGGCTGTGCGGCCCCCCAAAGAAATGCCACCCCAAACCATGACTGACCCACCGCCAAACCGGTCATGCTGGAGGATGTTGCAGGCAGCAGAACGTTCTCCACGGCGTCTCCAGACTCTGTCACGTATGTCACGTGCTCAGTGTGAACCTGCTTTCATCTGTGAAGAGCCAGTGAATTTGCCAATCTTGGTGTTCTGGCAAATGCCAAATGTCCTGCACGGTGTAGGGCTGTAAGCACAACCCCCACCTGTGGACGTCGGGCCCTCATACCACCCTCATGGAGCCTGTTTCTGACCGTTTGAGTAGACACATGCACATTTGTGGCCTGCTGGAGGTCATTTTGCAGGGCTCTGGCAGTGCTCCTCCTGCTCCTCCTTGCACAAAGGCGGAGGTAGCAGTCCTGCTGCTGGGTTGTTGCCCTCCTACGGCCTCCTCCACGTCTCCTGATGTACTGGCCTGTCTCCTGGTAGCGCCGCCATGCTCTGGACACTACGCTGACAGACACAGCAAACCTTCTTGCCACAGCTCGCATTGATGTGCCATCCTGGATGAGCTGCACTACCTGAGCCACTTGTGTGGGTTGTAGACTCTGTCTCATGCTACCACTAGAGTGAAAGCACCGCCAGCATTCAAAAGTGACCAAAACATCAGCCAGGAAGCATAGGAACTGAGAAGTGGTCTGTAGTCACCACCTGCAAAACCAGTCCTTTATTGGGGGTGTCTTGCTAATTGCCTTTAATTTCCACCTGTTGTCTATTCCATTTGCACAACAGCATGTGAACATTTATTGTCAATCAGTGTTGCTTCCTAAGTGGACAGTTTGATTTCACAGAAGTGTGATTGACTTGGAGTTACATTGTGTTGTTTAAGTGTTCCCTTTATTTTTTTGAGCAGTGTATATACTGTATATACATTACCGTTCAAAAGTTTGGGGTCACTTAGAAATGTCCTTGTTTTCCATGAAAACATACATGAAATTAGTTTGAATAGGAAATATAGCAAAATGATTTGGAAATATAGTCATTGACAAGGTTAGAAATAATGATTTTTAATTGAAATAATAATTGTGTCCTTCAAACTTTGCTTTCGTCAAAGAATCCTCCATTTGCAGCAATTACAGCCTTGCAGACCTTTGGCATTCTAGTTGTCAATTTGTTGAGGTAATCTGAAGAGATTTCACCCCATGCTTCCTGAAGCACCTCCCACAAGTTGTATTGGCTTGATGGGCACTTCTTACGTGTACCATACGGTCAAGCTGCTCCCACAACAGCTCAATAGGGTTAAGATCTGGTGACTGTGCTGGCCACTCCATTATAGACAGAATACCCAGCTGACTGCTTCTTCCCTAAATAGTTATTGTATAGTTTGGAGCTGTGCTTTGGGTCATTGTCCTGTTGAAGGAGGAAATTGGCTCCAATCAAGCGCCGTCCACAGGGTATGGCATGGCGTTGCAAAATGGAGTGATAGCCTTCCTTCTTCAAGATCTCTTTTACCCTGTAAAATATCCCACTTTACCACCACCAAAGCACCCCCAGACCATCACATTGCCTCCACCATGCTTGACAGATGGCATCAAGCACTCCTCCAGCATCTTTTCATTTGGTCTGCATCTCACAAATGTTCTTCTTTGTGAGCCGAACACCTCAAACTTCGATTCGTCTGTCCATAACACTTTTTTCCAATCTTCCTCTGTCCAGTGTCTGTGTTCTTTTGCCCATCTTAATCTTTTCTTTTTATTGGCCAGTCTGAGATATGGCTTTTTCTTTGCAACTCTGCCTAGAAGGTCAGCATCTCGGAGTCGCCTCTTCACTGTTGACGTTGAGACTGGTGTTTTGCGGGTACTATTTAATGAAGCTGCCAGTTGAGGACCTGTGAAGTGTCTGTTTCTCAAACTAGACACTTTAATGTATTTGTCCTCTTGCTCAGTTGTGCACCGGGGCCTCCTACTCCTCTTTCTATTCTGGTTAGAGACAGTTTGCGATGTTCTGTGAAGGGAGTAGTACACAGCGTTGTACGAGATCTTCAGTTTCTTGGCAATTTCTCGCATGGAATAGCCTTCATTTCTCAGAACAAGAATAGAGTGACGAGTTTCAGAAGAAAGTTCTTGTTTCTGGTAATTTTGAGCCTGTAATCGAACCCACCATTGCTGATGCTCCAGATACTCAACTAGTCTCAAGAAGGCCAGTTTTATTGCTTCTTTAATCAGCACAACAGTTTTCAGCTGTGCTAACATAATTGCAAAATGGTTTTCTAATGATCGATTAACCTTTTAAAATGATAAACTTGGATTAGCAAACACAACGTGCCATTGGAACACAGGACTGATGGTTGCTGATAATGGGCCTCTGTACGCCTATGTAGATATTCCATTAAAAATCAGCCGTTTCCAGCTACAACAGCCATTTACAACATTAACAATGTCTACACTGTATTTCTGATCAATTTGATGTTATTTTAATGGACCAACAAATTGCTTTTCTTTCGAAAACAAGGACATCTCTAAGTGACCCCAAACCTTTGAACGGTAGTGTGTGTGTGTATATATATATATATATATATATATATATATATATATTATTTCCGGTTCCTCTTTTAAAATTCTATTTCATCCGTGACAGCGCCTTCCTCTGAATTTCTTGTGCTTTGGCAACACTCGCATAGTACCAGAGAATTTAAACAATAAGATTTCTATTTGTGTGCAAAATCCAAAGCTTTCTGTATCTGTGATGTAAAATTTTTTAAATAATTACTGAAGCTTAAAGTTGAATATAAATAGACCCTTTTTATTATCCACAGAACAGATGAAGACATGATACAGACGATGCCATGGTGAAAATAAGAGACAGAAACTACAGTATAAGGAGATAGCGTACAACTAAGCATTTTTAACGTAACTACTGCTACTTTAGGTTGTTATTATATTCAGACACATTGACGATACAGTACAGCCGTTAGGAAAGACAATTTGGTCACCAGTCCAAGTCCAGTTGGTCTCTTGTCCACCAGAATGCCAAAAGTCCAATCACTGTCAACAGGGTCATCTTCGCTAGTAACTTCAGCACCCTCAGACACTACACAAACACAGTGTGTCAGAGGAATCAATCAATCAATTAAGCCCTTTTTTTTACAGCAAGTTGTGGGTTAAAGACTTACCCGGTCTCTTTTTCTGTGGGTCCGAGGCATTTTGCTGAGATCTTGTAGTTCTCCTTGTGGCTCCCGACTCTCCTGAGTCTCGGGTAAACTCATTCTCTGTCTCTCAGGCTCACGCTGCTCCTGAAATAGACACAACATCATCATGTGCTGGTGGCTGAAGGAAAGAGAGACAGAGAGAGAGAGAGACAGAGACAGAGAGAGAGAGACAGAGAGAGAGAGACAGAGAGAGAGAGACAGAGAAAGAGAGAGAGAAAGAGAGAGAGAGAGAGAGAGAGAGAGACAGAGAGAGACAGAGAGAGAGAGAGACAGAGAGAGAGAGACAGAGAAAGAGAGAGAGAGAGAGAGAGAGAGAGAGAGAGAGAGAGAGAGTGTGTGTTTGGGTTTGTGTGTGTGTGTTCACTTCAAGCCTTGCTGTAGAATCCAGGTCCTCGTCTCCGTCAGATGAGCTGTCGACCAAATCCACATCACTGCTGCTGAGAACGTAGAAGACAGGCAGTAATATAGGAAATAATGTCCCTCATCTATACCACAGTGACAGTGACAGTACATATGACATGTCTTGTTGAAGTACAGTCGTGGTCAAAAGTTTTGAGAATGACACAAGTATTGGTCTCCACAAAGTTTGCTGCCTCAGTGTTGATGATGGCAATTTGCATATACTCCAGAATGTCATGAAGAGTGATCAGATGAATTGCAATTAATTGCAAAGTCCCTCTTTGCCATGAAAATGAACTTCATCCCCAAAAAACATTTCCACTGCATTTCAGCCCTGCCACAAAAGAACCAGCTGCCATCATGTCAGTGATTGTCTCGTTAACACAGGTGAGAGTGTTGACGAGGACAAGGCTGGAGATCACTCTGTCATGCTGATTGAGTCAGAATAACAGACTGGAAGCTTTAAAAGGAGGGTGGTGCTTGAAATCATTGTTCTTCCATGGTTACCTGCAAGGAAACACGTGCCGTCATCATTGCTTTGCACAAAAAGGGCTTCACAGGCAAGGATATTGCTGCTAGTAAGATTGCACCTAAATCAACCATTTATCGGATCATCAAGAACTTCAAGGAGAGAGGTTCAATTGTTGTGAAGAAGGCGTCAGGGTGCCCAAGAATGTCCAGCAAGCGCCAGGACCGTCTCCTAAAGTTGATTCAGCTGCGGGATCGGGGCACCATCAGTGCAGAGCTTGCTCAGGAATGGCAGCAGGCAGGTGTGAGTGCATCTGCACGCACAGTGATGCGAATACTTTTGGAGGATGGCCTGGTGTCAAGAAGGGCAGCAAAGAAGCCACTTCTCTCCAGGAAAAACATCAGGGACAGACTGATATTCTGCAAAATATACAGGGATTGGACTGCTGAGGACTGGGGTAGAGTCATTTTCTCTGATGAATCCCCTTTCCGATTGTTTGGGCCATCCGGAAAACACCTTGTCCGGAGAAGCCAAGGTAAGCGCTACCATCAGTCCTGTGTCATGCCAACAGTAAAGCATCCTGAGACCATTCATGTGTGGGGTTGCTTCTCAGCCAAGGGAGTGGGCTCACTCACAATTCTGCCTAAGAACACAGCCATGAATAAAGAATGGTACCAACACATCCTCCGAGAGCAACTTCTCCCAACCATCCAAGAACAGTTTGGTGACGAACAATGACTTTTCCAGCATGATGGAGCACCTTGGCATAAGGCAAAAGTGATAACTAAGTGGCTCGGGGAACAAAACATCGACATTTTGGGTCCATGGCCAGGAAACTCCCCAGACCTTAATCCCATTGAGAACTTGTGGTCGATCCTCAAGAGGCGGGTGGACAAACAAAAACCCACAAATTCTGACAAACTCCAAACATTTTATACAAGAATGGGCTGCCATCAGTCAGGATGTGGCCCAGAAGTTAATTGACAGCATGCCAGGGCGGATTGCAGAGGTCTTGAAAAAGAAGGGTCAACACTGCAAATATTGACTCTTTGCATAAACTGAATGTCATTGTCAATGAAAGCCTTTGACACTTATGGAATACTTGTAATTATACTTCAGTGTACCATAGTAACATCTGACATAAATATCTAAGAACACTGAGGCAGCAAACTTTGTGGAGACCAATACTTGTGTCATTCTCAAAACTTTTGACCACGACTGTAGAAGCAGGCATTTCCTGGTTGGCGGGTGTCGTAAGTATTTTTATATTTGTTATTTAACTTACCTGTCAGTATATTCAATGACTTGAGGCAGGGGATCCACGCAGAACTGAACTCTAGACTTCCTCCCTGTATTCTCCCCATCTTCTTCTTCTTCTTCATCATAATAAAACTTGTGGAATGCCTTGATTCTCTCTTTCTCTTGTTCCCAACTCCTATTCTCCTCTTCATCATCCTCTTCATCATCCTCTTCACCTGCAAGTTCGCCACTCTCTGTGATTCCAGACGCTTCATACTGGTAATCTTGAATTAAACCACCACTGTCCACATTATTTCCCCCTGTGTCCCAGCTTATATCGGCGTGAATGCGGCTCTTCAACCTTCCTGCTAGCTCCGGCTGAAGTTCGCAAAGATGTTCCTCTTCTGAAGTTCCTGGCCCAGTCTCACCCCAAAGCCAAGTCTCCCGTTTGTCCTCTCTTTGTTCAGCCTCCGACGTCCATAACGCTCCGGGAAAACTTTCCTCAGAGTCAGATGATGACATGTTACCGGTACCTCTGGAGATGGTCACGGCTGCTCTACCGCGTCCGGCCTCACCGTGAAGGGTAGAAGTGGGGACGTCAGAGATGGTTTCTGAAAGATGCAGGTCGGCAACACTTGCTGCGGGATCAGGACAATCAGAAACAACCTCTGGAGCTCCATCTTCATCTCGCTCTTCTTCCTCTTCCTTCTCCTGAGGAAAAGTCTGCTGGGAGTTCACTGCTTTATTTCCCTCTTTTCTCCGTTGTTTGGTGACGGAGCTAGTCAGGATCTCCAGGTCTGAATCAGATGATTCCTCTTGGTTTTCTTCAGCCGTACGTCTCTCTCCTTCTTCACATATACCTGCTGTGATCTCCATGGTGCCATCTTCAGTGACACCCTCAAAACACCTCACATCACTGTTCTCGTAAGCACCTTGCTCTACGTTTCTGACTTTATGGTTTTCACTCTCTTGTTCGGCAAAAGGTTGTCCTGTGGTTACAATCTTCTCTATGTCCTGTAGAGCACCATCCCAGCTTTCTTCATCGTAGTGAACAACCACAGACCAATCCCCAGGGGAGCCAAGGTTCTTTATTCCTGTGTTCTCCTCTTCTCCTGAGTCCATCATCTCTGCCTCTTCCTCAATATGTTGAGTCTCCTCTTCTCCTGAACCTATCTCTTCCTCATCAACATGTTGAGTCTCCTCTTCTCCTGAACCTATCTCTTCCTCATCAATATGTTGAGTCTCCTCTTCTCCTGAACCTATCTCTTCCTCATCAATATGTTGAGTCTCCTCTTCTCCTGAACCTATCTCTTCCTCATCAATATGTTGAGTCTCCTCTTCTCCTGAACCTATCTCTTCCTCATCAATATGTTGAGTCTCCTCTTCTCCTGAACCTATCTCTTCCTCATCAATATGTTGAGTCTCTTCTCCTGAACCTATCTCTTCCTCATCAATATGTTGAGTCTCCTCTTCTCCTGAACCTATCTCTTCCTCATCAATATGTTGAGTCTCCTCTTCTCCTGAACGTATCTCTAACTCATCAATATGTTGAGTCTCCTCTTCTCCTGAACCCATCTCTTCCTCATCAATATGTTGAGTCTCCTCTTCTCCTGAACCCATCTCTTCCTCATCAATATGTTGAGTCTCCTCTTCTCCTGAACCCATCTCTTCCTCATCAGTATGATGTGTATCCTCTTCAGTCACTCTCACATCATATGTCTCCACTGAGATATGGTCAGATACATTTCCAGTTTCTCCACCAGGCTCTTCCTCTTCCTCTTCCTGTCCTACATCTTCCTCTTCCTCTCTCAGCACTGGTAACGTCCCAGGAGACATGTCTGGCACGGCTTCATCAAAATGGAGAGACTCAAAGTCTAACTCTCCTTCAGGGAAAGACGGGAGGGAAGTGTCTGCAACAACAACAACATCACAGACAGAAAAATATCATATGAGATGACAAAGATAGAAAACCCAAACAAGAATTTTCAGGAAATGATTGCACTAAATGTCGGTGAAGGTGCAGTGCCCTAGCTACAACCGACAGAACGCCTACCTGAAAATGCATCCGTTAACAAATCAGCAGAGTTCTGTTCCATCTTCTCTAGGCACAATAGGATGGGTAAAGTCAAACTACATGTAATGACATTTCTGTGCCTTTTTAGTTTTTCAGTTTACCAAGAGACAAGCAGACAATGATTCAACGTTTGACAGCATTTCATTTCCTATACAGTTTTTCTGATTTCTGACAGGAAGAGAGTGAGTTTAATTTCACATCTGTTATTGCATCAAGTAGCTTCCTGTCTAAATAGGGATACAGAAATAGACCAAAACACATCGACAAGCAGTGACACTAGTGACAAAAATAGAACTACAAAAGAGTTCAAATTTAATATGTTAATTAAAATGGCAGAGAATCACAGTCTGTTAAAAGCATTTGCTTCGTCATAAATAAAGTCACACGTAGGAAGACGTTTTATGTCGATGTACTCACCGTAGATTCAACATGTCAGCCGTGCTGTGGTTTTACTCTAAGATGAAGAACACAAGCGCCAGCCCTACCTCCAAGGTGCATCAACTGTCTAGGCCTCACCGCATATAACTTCCTGGTGAATGTATAAACAATGCTCTTGTCTCCATTCTTGCGTAATAATGTTATAAGGGATCAATCCAAAATAGACTTCAGTCTGCATCACATAATTTAGATATCCAATAAATATAACTTATTAGTCTTTGTGCTGACTGAAATAACATATTTTCTCATGATGTTAAATACAGTATACATTTCTAACAACAATCACTATAAAAAATGATTTTTTTTTAAAGCTTACATAATTTATAACTCTTATTTTAAATAACTTGATTAGTAAAACACAATTCATAGTAATATTGGACCTGTAGGAGACTATAGCACATGACAGAGGAGTTAGCGCTGGTTAGGCTTCAGGTCAACTTCTACAGGGAAGGTGGTCATTGACCTCCAAGGCCTAAACAAACAAACAAATAAATAAAATATAGATACAAAATAAATAAATAAAAATACAGATCCATATCTCAATTTAGCTGACAACTTGAACTCATATGCAATAATTTCAGTGTCTGAGATGTTAGTTACCTCCTCTTCAGTTAAGCTGAACTCCTCTTTTGAAGTTGAATGGTTTAGCCGAGTCTAGAACTATCCCAGAGATCATCTGCCATAGACAACTATCCTGGTGTGGAAAGAGGCACATCTGGATGTTGGTAATTAATCTATTCTCCTCCACATTAAGACAATTCCTTGAATGAGTCGATATGTGCCACAGAAAACCCCACCACACCAGTAACATATTTGTGATGTAATGTCCCCAAACGCGGAGAAGTACGGAGAAAACATTTTGAATCAGAGTGAAATAGGCGGGTAACTTGTCCAATTTAGAACACAGATTTTCATTTTCCATTGCACAATGTTTTGCTACGTTGCGCCCCACAGGTGTTGTATGGAATGGCTCTCTGACCTGCCAGAAGCACAGCGTGACTTCTGTCGGACATCATCTCCAATCAGCCTTGCGGAACTTGGGGTCGCTCTGCAAACGCACTGCTCCAAAGCCATTTAAGGTGACCTAGCTACAGGGCAGCGTTCAGGTCCCCTGAGATCACCACGTTCTAGTAACAAATACAGAGTTAAATGGACAGGAACAAGCAAACAAACAGGAAGTGATAGTAAATGGACCTTTATGATCATTGGAGAAAAAAATTTGAAAAGTAGAAATCAGAGGAACTTCTTGTAATGCTACCAGGTATCTACGGTTAAAACTTGTGATTCGACTAACCTCAGTCTTCCACTGCTTGCAGATCCCCTTGAAGACAGTGTAGAGTTCATCAATCTCTTTCATGGCTGTTTTTGGGACAGTTGTGTTGAAGACAGTGTAGAGTTCACCACATTTAGACACAAATACATTTTATACTTTTGGGAGTTTGACTATGTACAGTACCTAGACTATCCTTAACAATTATAGCACATGGCATGTCCCTGCCATAGCACACGGTATGTCGTTAGTAAAGATTGAAAAAAGTAAGGGGCCTAGACAGCTGCCCTGGGGAATTCCTGATTCTACCTGGATTATGTTGGAGAGGCTCCCATTAAAGAACACCCTCTGTGTTCTGTTAGACAGGTAACTCTTTATCCACATTATAGCAGGGGGTGTAAAGCCATAACACATAAGTTTTTTCCAGCAGCAGACTATGATCGATAATGTAAAAATCCGCACTGAAGTCTAACAAAGTCCCCACAGCCTCCCTGGTCTTTGTGGTTGAATCTGTGCTTGAAATTCAGTATTCGATTGAGGGACCTTACAGATAATTGTATGTGTGGGGTACAGAGATGGGGTAGTCATTCAAAAATCATGTTTATTGAAAAACATTCAAAAACCACTATTATTGAACACGGAATGAGCCTCTAAAGGTGAAGCCATCAAATGAAATGTTATTGGTCACATACATATATTTAGCAGATGTTATTGCAGGTGTAGTGAAATGCTTTTGTTCCTAGCTCCAACAGTGCAGTAGTATCTAACAATTCACAACAATACACACAAAACTAAAAGCAAAATAATGGAATTAAGAAAGACACACTGTGCTTATACCTACACTGGTGAAGGATCTTAACGGGTACAAAACATTGACCTTTGTTGACCTTTTAAATGCGTACTGTTAGATTTTCAGATATGGACGAGGCAGAGAGTGAGTCATTTAACATGTCTACTGAGGGAAAACGGCAACAATACAGGGGGGTCCTTTACCATTACGGAATTAACCCTTTATATGACATTTACAGTATGTATCCAAGTCTTATCTTGATAAGGGTTCTTCTAAAGGCAGTTCACGAGATATTGTGCATTCTAGGCGAGGCTTTTCTCTTTACAAGATGTAAGGTTCTCTGTATACTTTAGAGATTATATCATGTGCCAACCAAAACTCACTAGGCTAGGGCCCCAGAAGGCTAGAGCCCCAGAAGGATAGGGCCCCAGAAGGATAGGGCCCCAGAAGGCTAGAGCCCCAGAAGGCTAGAGCCCCAGAAGGATAGGGCCCCAGAAGGATAGGGCCCCAGAAGGATAGGGCCCCAGAAGGCTAGGGCCCCAGAAGGATAGGGCCCCAGAAGGATAGGGCCCCAGAAGGATAGGGCCCCAGAAGGATAGGGCCCCAGAAGGCTAGAGCCCCAGAAGGATAGGGCCCCAGAAGGATAGGGCCCCAGAAGGATAGGGCCCCAGAAGGCTAGAGCCCCAGAAGGATAGGGCCCCAGAAGGCTAGAGCCCCAGAGGATAGGGCCCCAGAAGGATAGGGCCCCAGAAGGATAGGGCCCCAGAAGGCTAGGGCCAGCACTGCATACTGAATGCTGTTGTATGATAGAGGTCTGTCTGACAGTTGTACATAGCCTCTCTTCCTTTAACCATAGGTGTTTTGGCAGAAGCCACTGTGAAGTCCATGCAACAAACTCTGTTTTCGGGGACTCAAGTTCGGGACTCATCAACTTGGAAGTGACGTATAATTGCTGCCTACCGTGTCTGCTCTTGTAGCAGTTGGTGATATTCAAACCATTTCAATGAGAGTCATTGTTTCATGAATCCTTTATCTTTAAACAGCGCCTCAAATGGGATCAGGCATGTTGACACAGCGTGGACAATCCACAGGCCCACAGACTCAATGATCATTGGACAGATATACAGCAGAATCTGTATCTGAACAAGCAGTCGCCCCTAGAGGACAGTCGCCCTCTCCAGGAAAGTTGCCCCCTCCAGGACAGTTGCCCCTTCCAGGACAGTCGCCCCTAGAGGACAGTCGCCCCTCCAGGACAGTCGCCCCCTCCAGGACAGTCGCCCCTAAAGGACAGTCGCCCCCTCCAGGACAGTCGCCCCCTCCAGGACAGTCGCCCCCTCCAGGACAGTCGCCCCCTCCAGGACAGTCGCCCCTCCAGGACAGTCGCCCCCTCCAGGACAGTTGCCCCTTCCAGGACAGTTGCCCCGCCAGGACAGTCGCCCCCGCCAGGACAGTCGCCCCCTCCAGGACAGTCGCCCCCTCCAGGACAGTCGCCCCGCCAGGACAGTCGCCCCCGCCAGGACAGTCGCCCCCTCCAGGACAGTCGCCCCCTCCAGGACAGTTGCCCCTACAGGACAGTCGCCCCTACAGGACAGTTGCCCCGCCAGGACAGTCGCCCCCTCCAGGACAGCTGCCCCTACAGGACAGTCGCCCCTACAGGACAGTTGCCCCGCCAGGACAGTCGCCCCTCCAGGACAGTCACCCCCTCCAGGACAGTTGCCCCTTCCAGGACAGTTGCCCCGCCAGGACAGTCGCCCCCTCCAGGACAGTTGCCCCTCCATCTGTTGTAAGATTTTTTTCATATGCTTTATCTTTTTGTTTTGTCTTGGGTATTTAAAAAAAATAATAATTCAACACTTTTCTCAAAAAAGTAAAATGTTACTATATTGGACCTTCCCCAGTCATTTTATTACAGTCGATTTCCACAAATTCGACGAATAAATATTTTATAGCTGAATTGTTTGTATAAAGAAAATGGACAGCATTTGTGACAATAATGTAAACACAATCATGAACATTAAGGCCGAGATCCGATCCGATCTGCTGTGCACCTTTTAAAGGCAATGTTTCCACACTCGTGGAGACCGCGTTCACGGTAAATGCTGCATATGTCCCCTCGGAAATTACCTTTAAATGTCAAGCGCACTACAACGCGGATCTACTGCTGATCGGATTGAATCCCGGTCTCTGTTTCTCAAACAAAATGACTCAAAACAGAATACTTATTATGATACTTAGCCAAATTATTTTCATGATCTGCACGATTTTTGTCCAACTAAAATATGTAGTACATTAGCCAAATATAATCATTTCAAACACAGATATTGAACAATTATTACATAATGATGCATAGGTAGCAGTGGAGGCTGCTGACGGGAGGACGTCTCATAACAATGGCTGAAATGGAGTCAGTGGAATGGTATCAAACGCCTGGTTTCCATGTGGTTGATACCGTTCCATTGACTCCATTCCAGCCATTGTTATGAGCCATCCTCCACTCACCAGCCTCCACTGGTAGACAGTAAATTGTTATTTTTATCCCCGGGTTTGTGTTATGTGTAACATTGTAAACATTCATGTTTAAATAAAATCAAACTATATATGCAGAGAGACTCCTTAAAAAGTTGAAATCAAAAGCAACTCATTCTCAGTCGTTATTCTCAACTCATCTATAAAGGCACACAAAGGTTCTGAGTTACAAATATAAAATAAATGAATAGATTGTTTTTCCTTTAATCATTTGGATTGTTTTTATTAGATTTTTGTTAAAACATAAATTAATAATACTCAACAACAAAAAATCTGAATATACACAAAACAAACTCAATCAAACTTTAAATCCTAATCCTAATCCTGTGCTGTGATAGCCTGAGTCCCAGATCTCTTTGTACTGTCTTGCCAAGTCCAATGTCATAGAGTTGGCGAGAGAGCCCAAACCGATGTGGGACACAGGCTAGTGCTGTGGTCAGATAGGCCTGAAGCAGCCAATGTGTTGTGGAGAGGCGGCCTGCAGTAGATAGTCCTCTATGTGTTCCTCTACAGCTGAGTACAGGTCCTGGATTTGGTCCTTGAAGGGAGGATGCCATGCCCACAAGATGGCCGCCGCCACCATGGACAGGAGCGTTAGTAGTAGAACACAGAGCCACAACCAGGAGACACAGGGCTTCTAGAAACGGAAGGAAAAACACACACAATGAAGCGCAGTAAAAAAAAAACACACAACATTTACTTCAAAGTGGATGTAACTGCACCATCAGGGGCATATTTCAGAAATGTATTTCATTATATGGGTTATGGGGGGGGTTATTGGGGGGTGGGTGGGGGGGGGGGGGGGGGCTATAGGGGGTTATTGGAGAGTTATGGGGGTTATCTATTTTTTTTTGGGGGGGGGGTTATTGGAGAGTTATGAGGGTTATGGGGGTTATGGGAGGTTATTTGAGAGTTATGGGGGGGTTTGGGGGTTATAAGAGATTTTGGGGGGTTTGGGGGGTTATGGGGGGGGGTTATGGGGGGTTATGGGGGGGGGGGGGGGGGGGTTGGGGGGGGTTATGGGCCAAAGGACAACAAAGGGAGGGAGCTGCCAACACACACACACTCTGCTCACCCTGCTGCTGCGTCGGTGGCTGAGCTGTCTGAGTTCGTCCCTGCACTGCGTCAGGCGGACCTGGCACGACTGGCACTCTGCCTCCACGGCCTCCAGCTCATTCTGCAGCTCCTCACACTGCACACGCACGCACGCACGGACGCACACACACACACACACACGCACACACCACACACACACACACACACACACACACACACACACACACACACACATACACACACACACACACTATGAAATACAATGTTTTCACCATTGTGTATGAAATATATCATTTGGGAACTGAATTGAAACATCTTTACATTTAGCTGAGAATGACGTACTCCTGTTCCTCTTATTGGTCCAATTAAGGAGGGCGGACCTGTCATTATTCTCCTGTAACCAGTAGAAGGCCTGGGTTTATGAGCCCCCTCCTCCCTCACCTCTCTCTCCTTCAGCTGTAGTCGGTCCAGAGTGTGACGGAGCTGCTCCGCAACCTGATCTCCATCTCCCCATGATAACTGCTTCTGCTGTGACGATACAATCAGCTGCTCCTCCTCCTCCTCCTCCTCCTCCTCCTCCTTCTCCTCTGGCTGCTCCAGCGACACAGTCAACCGGGCCAGGGTCTGCTCACACTCTTCGGACTCCTCTGATAAAACAGTCAACCGGGCCAGGGTCTGCTCACACTCTTCGGACTCCTCTGATAAAACAGTCAACTGGGCCAAGGATTCCTCCAGGGACTCCTCCTGAGTCTCAGCCCTGGCATCTAGGAGTCAGGCAGGGCAAGATGAGATAGCCATTAATTAATTCCCTTAGTTTCTACTTTACTACTAAAAGATTTTCAGATGCAGAACCCCATGAAAATTGGTGTGTGTGCACAGTTGTGTGTGCATTGAACTGCTACTTGTGTGACCTCTAACCTCTCATCTCCTGGATCTGGTCCCTCAGGTTCTGGTTCTGTTCTTCCAGTAGAACAATGTTGGACTGTAACTCCTCCTCCATTTGCTGTACTGCCCCCAGCTCCTCCCTCAGCCCCGCCTCCTGAGCCCTGGCAAGCTGCACACCACAGACCCCCAGCCTCTTACTTGGGCATTCATATAAATATAATAATAATAATAATATGCCATTTAGCAGACGCTTTTATCCAAAGCGACTTACAGTCATGCGTGCATACATTTTTTTGTGTATGGGTGGTCCCGGGGATCGAACCCACTACCCTGGCGTTACAAGCGCCGTGCTCTACCAATTGAGCTACAGAGGACCACATCACACAGCGATGTCTATACACCATTTTTCCAGCATTAAATGTACACAGTGATCCCCTTAGATCCAAATTAGATCCACCTTTCCTCCAACTCCAGTGAGTCAATTACAGCAACCCACTGGATCACACAGTATGTAGCGGTCTCTCTGATCATGACGTAGTCTCACTTTGCCAGAGGCTAACTCATTATGATGGTATCCCTTCAGTGCCTCACAGAACACTCCCCACTGTGATATCTACTGTGTCTGTACAGAGTGACTACTGTACCTCCAGTTGGTTCTGCAGCTGTAGAACCTGTTCAGAGTTGATCTCCTGTCTCTTCTTCAGCTGTTCTGAGCTGTCCTTCATTTCCTCACACAGACCCTGCCACTGCGCCGACTCCACCCTGGCTGCCTGCAGCAGCATCTAGTGGACACGGGGAAGAAGTGCACCTACATTATACAGAGAGACAGCACCTAGTGGTAAGAGAAGTACACCTACATTATACAAGACAAGCCACTACAAGTTTTATCACTGTAGGGCTTCATAGTTTTCAACACACTATCTAGACAGTAGAAACCGGTGAAATGGTATGAGCATGTCCCTCGTTATAGCCAATACTTAACATCAGTTTAGTATAAATGCAAAAGTGTGGGCCTGTACATGAACAGGGTGTCTGTAGGTGCCAGGGAGAGAGAGACAGACAAGAGGCAAAGAAAGAACCCCCAACCTCGAGTGTCTCGGCCTGGCTGAGCGCTTCCTGTTTCTCCTCTGTAGCCCTCTGGATGGCCTCCAAGGCTTTCTCCTCATACGCGCCCTTCTGTTTCTCCATCTGTAGCACCAGCTTCACTCCATCCCAGGGGAGCTTCTGTTTCTGTGAGAACCGCAAGTAATAAACTGGTCATACATAGACATTGCTAGTTGTGCTATACTGTAGTTGTGAGAAGAATTGACATGTTGAATGTACCGAGCTGTCTGTTTGAACTACTGGCGCACAGCTCGGACACCCATGCATACCCCACAAGACATGCCACCAGAGGTCTCTTCACAGTCCCCAAGTCCAGAACAGGCTATGGGAGGCGCACAGTACTACATAGAGCCATGACTACATGGAACTCTATTCCACATCAGGTAACTGATGCAAGCAGTAGAATCAGATATTATTTTTTTAAACAGATAAAAATACACCTTATGGAACAGCGGGGGACTGTGAAGAGACACACACACATAGGCACAGACACACGCACACACACACACACACACACACACACACAATAACATACGCTTTATACACAGACGTACACATGGATTTTGTGTTGTAGATATGTGGTAGTAGAGTAGGGGCCTGAGGGCACACACTTAATGTGTTGTGGAATCTGTTGTGAAATCTATTGTAATGCCTTAATTTTGCTGGACCCCAGGAGGAGTAGCTGCTGCCTTGGCAGGAACTAACGGGGATCCATAATAAATACAAATACTTGAGCTTAAGCAGGTATAACCCACAAACCACATGACAGCACCACTCTCTATGAAAAGTATCATCAGATCAGTATGAGATGGTTGTTGGTTCTGAACCGAGATATTGCCTGAATGGTTGTTGGTTCTGAACCGAGATATTGCCTGAATGGTTGTTTGAGAAAAGGGCAGCATACAACAGTTTAAAGCCTACTAATGAGATTTAACGGGACGCCAAACCCTCACTTGTCAAACTCAAATGTGCAAACATTAGAAGCATCTGACAACCAAAATAGAACAAGCTAGAAATTACAAGAGTGATATAGTCTTTGTTGAGAAGGAGCACATCCTCGGTCAACAGCTGCAGATGCAGCAGGATGCTATTCTTACCTGCAGACAGACTTGCAGCTGCGTTTCTAATGCTCTGATCTTGTTCTTTAGTAGGTCTTCATTGCAGCGTGTCTGTGGGAGAGGAGAGGAAATGTATGTAGCCTGAAGTGTTACACTACTGAAACCTGCTGAGGAAAGACTAACGGCTGATTGACACCACAACGTGTCTTCTCACTTGTCACCACGGTCTGTCTGTATGCACCAATCAAAAGGCAGACGCAGTCTGTTGTGAACAGAACCAATAAGAACACACCCTTCCGGTGTGAGAGCTAGAGCAGTCTCTCTTCCTAGATGCTGATGTTCTCTGATGTTACTCTGTGAGCAAGGTACAGACTAGAGCAGCAGGAAGCTAGCCCTTAACCACAGACTCATCCTGCCTGCTGTACCGCAGTCAGAAACAGAGAACACTACAGCCTCATCCCGTCTGCTGTACCGCAGTCAGAAACAGAGAACACTACAGATACATCCCGTCTACAGATACTGTACACGATCACGGCACTGAGTTTTGTTTGTATGAGGCAGCCAGGTATGGCACGAGAGCAGTGGTGTAAAGTACTTAAGTAAAAATACTTTAAAGTACTACTTAAGTAGTTTTTGGGGGTAATCTATACTTTACTATTTATATATAACTTTTACTTTTACTTCACTACATTCCTAAATAAAATATTGTACTTTTTACTCCCATACATTTTCCCTGACAACCAAAAGTACTCTTTACATTTTGAATGCTAAGCAGGACAGGAAAATTGTCAAATTCACACACTTATCAAGAGAACATCCCTGGTCATCTCTACTGCCTCTGATCTGGCCGACTCACTAAACACAGATGCTTATTTTGTAAATAATATCTGAGTGTTGGTGTTGCCCCTGGTTATCTGTACATTTTAAAAACAAGAAAATTATGCTGTCTGCTTTGCTTAATATAAGGAATTTTAAATGATTTATACTTTTACTTCGACTTTTGATACTTAAGTATATTTTAGCAATTACATTTACTTTTGATACTTAAGTATATTTAAAACCAAATACTTTTAGACTTTTACTCAAGTAGTATTTTACTGGCTGACTTTCACTTTTACTTGAGTAACTTTCTATTAAGGTATCTATACTTTTACTCAAGTATGACAATTGGGTACTTTTTCCACCACTAGGCAAGAGAGTGTGGTATGTGAGCCAGGTATGAGGAAAGTGGGTGTGGTATGTGAGCCAGGTATAAGGAAAGTGGGTGTGGTATGTGAGCCAGGTATGAGGAAAGTGGGTGTGGTATGTGAGGCAGGTATAAGGAAAGTGGGTGTGGTATGTGAGGCAGGTATAAGGAAAGTGGGTGTGGTATGTGAGGCAGGTATAAGGAAAGTGGGTGTGGTATGTGAGCCAGGTATAAGGAAAGTGGGTGTGGTATGTGAGCCAGGTATAAGGAAAGTGGGTGTGGTATGTGAGCCAGGTATAAGGAAAGTGGGTGTGGTATGTGAGCCAGGTATAAGGAAAGTGGGTGTGGTATGTGAGCCAGGTATAAGGAAAGTGGGTGTGGTATGTGAGCCAGGTATGAGGAGGAGAGAGTTTCTTACAGTCCATAGGGTGTCAGAGTGGTGTAGCAGGGTGGAGCCACGCTTCTGGAGAACAGCCAACTTGTTCTTCAGGCCCTCCTCTCTCCATAGAGCCTCCTGCCATAAGGAGGTACAGAACAGATACAGTATGAAGTGAAAGATACACACTTCTATGAAGCACAACTAGCCGTACACATGTTCAACTGGGCACATGACGTTGTTGTTGCCATAGAACGACAAGTTGGGTAACAAATTGCAAAGTTTTACCTGCAAGTAATCAGCCAGCTGAAGAACTTCCTGTCATGGAGAAAAGTTCATTTTGTTACTGTATGGGGTGGGGTGTGTCTTTCACTTAAAACTGTTGTGACTGATCTATATGGGGTGTGTCTTTCACTTAAAACTGTTGTGATTGATCTATATGGGGTGTTTCTTTAACCTAAGACTGTTGTGACTGATCTGTATGGCACTGCACACAATTGTGAGCAAGGTGGATTGTGGAAACTCACAGATTCCTTGACGGTAACATAGCCAGGCCTGTATATTAGAGAAAATGCATTTCGTTACAGAGACTGACATCAAGAAAACAGAATCAGAGTTTTTTGGTGTGTTTTCTATTACTAGAGTTTTCACTGTGACTTCATCTGCCATCATTTCAAGAAAAATACTTGATTGAGACTCACTCTGTCTGTACGCTGGCTTCTTGCTGTCTCTTTTTAGCTCGGTTTGATTCACCTGTACCCTTCAGGATGCCTGGTAGAGTGAAATGGCAATTATTTTATTAAATATGACTTGGTCATAATTGTATAGTATTGAAGTGGAATAAAGAAATGTAAGTACCCTTATCTTTCTTTGTGGAGGCTTTTAACCTGGGCTGGACTAGTTCTCTGCTCGGGGTGGACGTCTTCGGGGTAGAGGTTGGGGTGCTGGTGTGTGGTTCTTTGATCGGTGTGGATGTGTGTGGAACTGAATCCTGTTTTCTGGTAGAGTTCTTCTTAGAGGTGGGTGGTTCTCTGGTCGAGGTGCAGATGGTTGGGGTGGAGGTAGGGGTGGAGGTGGGTGGTTGTCTGGTCGAGGTGGTCAAGGTAGAGAAAACTGCCTCTAGTGTTCTAGTTCTGCTCTTCTCATTTTTCCTCACTGGTGTTTGATTTGTCCATATTGAGGCCTGGTGAATACAACAGTGATAATGAAGGAACTCGATAATTACGCTGTAACATGATCTTTTAATAAATAAATGAGCTCTGGATAGTCAGAATAAAAGGGTTGTAGGTCTATTAACAAAAAGATAAACGTCAAATATAAATGATTGCTAAAATCAATACGAATGCAGTAAAGTAGATGGTAAGCCATGAATGACATTTATATTATTTTACCCATTCACTGTTGTCCAGGTCATCTTTGGACGCCTTTATTCTCTTAACCATTATCAATGGTCGTCCATTGGACATAGGCCTAGGGGGCTGTGGCCAAGTGACGTTACCCTGCAAAGACTCTGTCTTGGCTTCGTCGCAGATGACACAACTGTCGTCCTTGACCTTTGCAGAGGCTTTCGCCCTTTGTGACCCCGGCAGATTTGACTTAGGTATCACACTGACCTTAGCCCGCACCGTCTCTGACTTGGCTGTGTCACAGATGACACAACTGTCGTCCTTGACTTTTCCAGAGTCTTTGGCCCTTTCTGGGCTGACTGATCGTCTTCTGTGGAATTCCTGCTGTCTCTTCCGCCTCAGCTCCTTCTTGATCCACCGTGTGTCCAGTTCTCTGGTTGGGCTCCGACAGGAAGTGACGTTGTTGCGTCCCCGGAGCTCCTTGTGTTTCTCTGCCCGCTGCTCACTCTTCTGGTCGTATTCGCTCACCTGAAGCAATAGAGGGGTTTCGTGGTCAGACAACTGGAACAGGGATGCTACCTTAAATAAACGAATGATGCATCAGAAGTTGAGGCGCGACACTCTCTCCATTATAAAACGTATATTATTTATTGTAAAATCCAAGGTTAAAAACATAGAGTGACCTTTCAGCCAGAGACCGTCATCGGGCAGAGTTGTTATTCTCTCACCTGAAACCAGTGTGTCAGGGTGATGTCCAGGGTCTCCATGGCAGTGTGTCCAGTCAGGTTGTTATGATGGGGCTGTAGGTCTAGTCTTACAACTGCAAGTGAATTTGTTAAAAATAAAGTTGATTGTTATTGCAATTGATATGCATAGACACGTTACAAATATAACAGTTAAAATGGTTGTGTCAGATTGGCTTTTCCATTTTAATAAAATGAATGCATGAGTGGAGGTGGTGGATAACGTGGTATGAAAATGTATGCACTCACTAACTGTAAGTCGCTCTGGATAAGAATGACTAAAATGACTAAAATGTTAAATGTTATAACGTGGTGGATAACCTGGTGGATAACCTGGTGGATAACCTGGTGGATAACCTGGTGGATAATAACGTGGTGGATAACCTGGTGGATAACCTGGTGGATAACCTGGTGGATGATAACGTGGTGGATAACCTGGTGGATAACCTGGTGGATAACCTGGTGGATAACCTGGTGGATAATAACGTGGTGGATAACCTGGTGGATGATAACGTGGTGGATAACCTGGTGGATAACTGGTGGATAATGTGTGATAACCTGGTGGATAATACGTGGTGGATAACCTGGTGGATATGATAACGTGGTGGATAACCTGGTGGATAACCTGGTGGAAACTGGTGGATAACCTGGTGGATATAACGTGGTGGATAACCTGGTGGATAACCTGGTGGATAACTGGTGGATAATAGGTGATAACCTGGTGGATAACTGTGGTGGATAACCTGGTGGATAACCTGGTGGATAACCTGGTGGATAATAACTTGGTGGATAACCTGGTGGATAACTTGGTGGATAACCTGGTGGATAATAATGTGGTGGATAACCTGGTGGATAACTTGGTGGATAACCTGGTGGATAATAAGTGGTGGATATAACCTGGTGGATAACCTGGTGGATAATAACCTGGTGGATAACCTGGTGGATAACTTGGTGGATAACCTGGTGGATAATAACCTGGTGCATAACCTGGTGGATAACGTGGTGGATAACGTACGTGGTGGGTAACGTGTGGTGAAGACTAGCTGGGCAACTCAATCAGTAAATAACACACACCTTGTGAAGCAGATGAGGTGAATGTATAATTAGCCTACAACTGGTTGTTATTTCTTTGCCCACAGGTCTCAAACCATTCACAGTTCAACTTCTCTCATAGCATTCTACAGTTGACAAGGAGCTCTTCATTGCTCCTCAAACTTGACAAATTTGTACATCTAACACAGAAAGTTTGTAAAACTAAACCACAAACATCTGGCAGTCGCTAAAGGCTTTATGTATCCAAAGCAAGACAAGACATTTCTCTGGCTGCTGTGACAACAGAGCTTCAGTAGGGAAGGGAAACGTGACTACAGAGAGGTTTTAGATATAGAGTTATTGCAATAGGTACATGTTACCTGCTCAGTCATCAATCTTGTTTGAAGTAATGGATCCTGAAGAGCCGGTGTGAAGTTAAAAAAAAACAGCCACATACAGGCTTTCTCTCTCTTCTAAACTGTGTCCTCCTTGTAGATTTTCTGTCTGTCTTTCTCAAGTCGCTCTTTCTGTCTTGCATGTTTTTTTTCAGGAAGTGGAGGGGATGGGGAACCACACCAGTCATATGTGTTCCTCTATCTCACCAACCAGCTGTACAACTGATGTCACACACTGGTGCGACCCATTGATTAGAGACTGCCTGGCCCAGTTGACACTCTAGTTGGGTGTAGAATGTGGCTATTTGGTAGAGTTTTCTCACTCTCCCTCTCAGCGAGACTGGTCAGCTGTTCACAGTGCTATGTACTAGCTATGTACTTCTGTACATACTGTAAGTTCGTATAATATGTAACTACTGGACATGATGCATATAATGTAAAACTCCTATCAATGTATTATTTTGTGTATGTGTGTTTACTAAATATCCCTTTACTAAACATCCCGTGCAGCAAAGGTCAAATATATATTACTTGTGTGCCGCCTAGTGGTGGGATTAAACGTTGAACAACAGGACAATTTGTATGACATGGGACATACAAATCCCGTTTATAATCTCGCGATGTTTGACAAGAACGTCCCAGTTCTCCGCCATCCTTGTGAGGCGCTTTGCAGTAGAAGGGCACGAAGAGAAGGTGGCCAGTAAACCAAAGACTTGGCACTTCTTCGTTCAACCATGCTGTCTAGAATCGTTTTCGTTTCAGGTATGCATTATCAGCGTTTCGTACGTAATATTGAGTTGAAATAGCAGTAGTAATGCCACGAAGTGTGGCTGACTTGAATGTGAAGCTGAAGGGTAAAGTCAGGAGGAGAAGGCCGCAATCACAATTGAATGAGCAACATGCTAACCAAGCAAGAACAGGCTAAATATAGCTAGCTAGCTAGCTAGTAAACGTTAAATGTTACGTGCAAAATTAGTCATTGTCCAATCTGGGTAGTTATTGCACTCAGGATTTTGAATAACTAGCTAGTTACTGTAAATGTCAAGGTAGCAGTCATTGTTTTTACGTTAGCCGGACTAGCCTCTGATCTCTGCCCTTGCTTGTTTGGAAAGGTGGCAAGCCTTCCACAGTTAACTCTGTTTGCATAGCTACTGACAGCTGGCAACTCCTCATCGTGCAAGTTCATCATGCATGATATTGGTGTCTTGAAGTAGGTATTTGTTTGTTAACCAACTAGTTAGCTAAATATTTAGCTATGTAGTTAGCTAGGGACAATGTCGAATCCTGGACGCTAGCTAGTTTGCTAACTGTCATGGCTATTGCACTTGACAGCTGACTAACGTTGGCTAGCGAAAGCTTGTAAGTGGGCGCAGTTCGCTAGCACAGACTCTGTTTGTCCATATTATTCCCAGCCCATTATGTGCTAAATTGAGCAGCAGAGCAGACTCTTTCAAACAGCCACATGTTTCGTTGACACTTTCATTCATGACATTGAAAACATTTGTACTTGTCTTTTTTAATTTTTTATTCTATTGACTGTTCTTTCCTTCTCCAGCTAATGCTGTGAAGAGCTGTGGTCCCCTCGGCGCTGGGTATGCACCTGTTCATATGACTTTTAACTGGAGCTAGATTGTTTTCTCCAAATAAGCCTTGTTGCAAGACTTTTAAATGTCAGTACGCTGCGTTTCAAATAGTCAAGCAACAATCTAATTAATTCAGGATTTGTACAATTTATACCTAGACTAAATATAAGCCTTCCACAAACATAAAACCCACTCATATTGTAATTATTTTATCAAAATAGCTTAACCTGCTTTTTTTTTTTTCATTAATCACTGATCTGGTTTTCAAGTCTGTCTATGAAAATACCATTTTTTGTAAAAAAATCACAAAAAAATCACACAAAAAACAGAATGATGCACAATGTACATCCACTAATAATGACCAACTTCTGGTAGCAGGCATTATAATTAACACAGGTCTCAAGCACAAGCCCACATGCTAGTGAGTAGCCAGCTAATCTTTATATTTAAAGTCTAGCCAACTTGGATCTATTTGCTTGCAAACAAGGTAGAACAGTTAAACTGTAATGAATACACCCTCCTGTCTGTCTCCAACTGTTTAAACAACATAGCCTGTTCACGTTGTTCAGATGAAATGAAGTGGCCTACCTGGATAAGAATATACTTATTTCTCAGAATGTGAACCAGTTGCCAGTTCCTTATATAAATGTATATTTTTATGCTCATTGCACATTTATAAAACACAGACTAGACAGCAGGCACATAACAGTATGTGGCTAAAGGGATGCTAGTGCCACGGCAATGGTACACGTGACAGAAACTGAGCGTTCATTTCCCACAATCATGTTCAATTATACTCCCGTTTTTTAATAGGGCTGCTTCATTCCATGTTTTGGGAGTTGAGACGTAAAAAGGTATATTTTTAAAAAGGTTAAGTTCAAACAAATGTGCTCCTAAGAATCTTGATACAGGCATTTGGAACATCGCGCTATCCAGCCTAAGCTAGATACATCTGCTTGTTTTACATGCGTAAAATCATGGGGCGGCAGGTAGCCTAGCGGTTAAGAGCGTTGGGCCAGTAACCGAAAGGTCGCTGGTTCGAATCCCTGAGCTGGCAAGGCAGTTAACCCGGAATAACAACTGCTCCCTGGGCCACAATGACGTGGACGTCGATTTAAGACAGCCCCCCGCACCTCTCTGATTCAGAGGGGTTGGGTTAAATGCAGAACACTCATTTCAGTTGAATGCATTCAGTTGTGCAACTGACTAGGTATCCCCTTTCCCTAAATGCCAATTCACACTAGATATGTCATTTTAATGGTCCAGTAGTTTGATAGGATTTGGCAAACTAGATATTTGTTAAATATAAATAACTGAAATAAGGGTGACCAAAATTGTAATGGTGACCTTGAACTCTACATTAAAGATCTGCATGCCCATCTTCTCCATAGTTCCCAAAATAAAGTCTGCCTGTCCCCTGTCCCCTGTCCCCTGTCTTCCCAGGCTGGCCCAGCTGTCCCACCTCCACACGTCCCCCAGCAGCCAGGCCCCAGTCCCCGCTCTGCCAGAGAAAGGAGGCAAGACACGGCATGGCATCATCCCAGAGGAACTCTTCCAGCTCCTGTACCCCAAGACTGGAGTCACAGGTCAGTAGAACTTCCCCCAAACCTGGAGCAATGTTCAGATAGAAATATGATATGTAGAACAATAAAATAAATGTAGAATAAACTAATAATTTAATCTGTATTCATTACATTTCTATCTGCATAATCAACAACGTTTGCCTATTGAATGTGGCCATGAACTTTCACCCCCCCTTCCTTGTCTGTTATCACCCCCAGGTCCCTACATCCTGTTATGTTATCACCCCCGGTCCCTACATCCTGTTCTGTTATCACCCCCCGGTCCCTACATCCTGTTCTGTTATCACCCCCAGGTCCCTACATCCTGTTCGTTTATCACCCCCAGGTCCTACATCCTGTTCTGTTATCACGCCCCAGGTCCCTACATCCTGTTCTTGTTTATCACCCCCCAGGTCCCTACATCCTGTTCTGTATCACACCCAGGGTCCCCTACATCCTGTTTCTGTGAACACCCCCAGGTCCCCTACATCCTGTTCTGTTATCACCCCCGGTCCCTGTTACATATCCTGTTCTGTTATTCACCCGGTCCCTATATCATGTTATGTTATAACCCCCAGGAGTCCTACATCCTGTTCTGTTATCACCCCCCGGTCCCTAAATCCTGTTCTGTTATCACCCCCAGGTTCCCTACATCCTGTTCTGTTATCACCCCCAGGTCCCCTAAATCCTGTTCTGTTATCACCCCCATGTCCCTACATCCTGTTCTGGTTATCACCCCCAGGTCCCTACATCCTGTTCTGTTTAATCACCCCCGTCCCTAATCCATGTTCTGTTATCACCCCCGGTCCCTATATCCTGTTTGTGTTTCACCCCCGGTCCCTATATCCTGTTCTGTTATCACCCACCCCGGTCCCTATATCCTGTTCTGTTATCACCCCCGGTCCCTACATCCTGTTCTGTTATCACCCCCGGTCCCTACATCCTGTTCTGTTATCACCCCCCGGTCCCTACATCCTGTTTCTGTTATCACCCCCCGGTCCCTACATCTGTTCTGTTATCCACCCCCCGGTCCCTACATCCTGTTCTGTTATCACCCCCCGGTCCCTACATCCTGTTCTGTTATCACCCCCCGGTCCCTACATCCTGTTCTGTTATCACCCCCGGGTCCCTACATCCTGTTCTGTTATCACCCCCGGGTCCCTACATCCTGTCTGTTATCACCCCCGGGTCCCTACATCCTGTTCTGTTATCACCCCCGGGTCCCTACATCCTGTTCTGTTATCACCCCCGGGTCCCTACATCCTGTTCTGTTATCACCCCCGGGTCCCTACATCCTGTTCTGTTATCACCCCCGGGTCCCTACATCCTGTTCTGTTATCACCCCCGGGTCCCTACATCCTGTTCTGTTATCACCCCCAGGTCCCTACATCCTGTTCTGTTATCTCCCCCAGGTCCCTACATCCTGTTCTGTTATCACCCCCCGGTCCCTACATCCTGTTCTGCTTCACGCTCTCTCCCCACTCACTCTCCTCTCTCTCTCCCTCTCTTTCTACCCACCCTCCTCTCTCCCCACTCACTCTCCTCTCTCTCTCCCTCTCTTTCTACCCACCCTCCTCTCTCCCCACTCTCCTCGCTCTCCTCTGTCTCTCTCCCCCGCTCTTCTCTCTCTCCTCTCCTCTATAAATGATAGTAAATAAACGTGGGCTTCTCCACTCCTGTTGTCTCCAGGCCCCTACATGCTGGGTGCTGGGCTACTCACATACATCCTCTCCAAGGAGATCTACATCATCAACCACGAGACCTTCGCTGCCGCCTGCATGGGTACCGTCATCATCTATGGTGTCAAGAAGTTTGGCCCCGACGTTGCTGCTTTCGCTGACAAACTGAACGAGGTGCGGAACTTGTTGTCCTTCTGAGTTTGTTTGGCCTATTTGATAATTCATTGCAGGTGTTCTTGTCATAAATCTTTGGTCATTTGTAGTAGTTCTGGAGCGGTATTTCCCAACTCCAGTACCCCCCAGCAGCCCAACTCCAGTACCCCCAGCAGTCCAACTCCAGTCCTCCAGTACCCCCCAGCAGCCCAACTCCAGTACCCCCAACAGCCCAACTCCAGTACCCCCAGCAGTCCAACTCTGGTCCTCCAGTACCCCCAGCAGCCTAACTCCAGTACCCCCCAGCAGCCCAACTCCAGTACCCCCCAGCAGCCCAACTCCAGTACCCCCAGCAGCCCAACTCCAGTACCCCCAGCAGTCCAACTCCAGTACCCCAACAGTCCAACTCCAGTACCCCCCAGCAGCCCAACTCCAGTACCCCCAGCAGTCCAACTCCAGTACCCCCAGCAGCCCAACTCCAGTACCCCCAACAGCCCAACTCCAGTACCCCCAGCAGTCCAACTCCAGTACCCCCAACAGCCCAACTCCAGTACCCCCAACAGCCCAACTCCAGTACCCCCAACAGCCCAACTCCAGTACCCCCAGCAGCCCAACTCCAGTACCCCCAGCAGCCTAACTCCAGTACCCCCCAGCAGCCCAACTCCAGTACCCCCCAGCAGCCCAACTCCAGTACCCCCAACAGCCCAACTCCAGTACTCCCAACAGCCCAACTCCAGTACCCCCAGCAGTCCAACTCTGGTCCTCCAGTACCCCCCAGCAGCCCAACTCCAGTACCCCAAGCAGTCCAACTCCAGTACCCCAAGCAGTCCAACTCCAGTACCCCCAGCAGTCCAACTCCAGTACCCCCAACAGCCCAACTCCAGTACCCCCAACAGCCCAACTCCAGTACCCCCAACAGCCCAACTCCAGTACCCCCAACAGCCCAACTCCAGTACCCCCAACAGCCCAACTCCAGTACCCCCAACAGCCCAACTCCAGTACCCCAGCAGTCCAACTCCAGTACCCCCAGCAGCCCAACTCCAGTACCCCCAGCAGCCCAACTCCAGTACCCCCAACAGCCCAACTCCAGTACCCCCAACAGCCCAACTCCAGTACCCCCAACAGCCCAACTCCAGTACCCCCAACAGCCCAAACTCCAGTACCCCCAACAGCCCAACTCCAGTACCCCCAGCAGCCCAACTCCAGTACCCCCCAACAGCCCAACTCCCAGTACCCCCAACAGCCCAACTCCAGTACCCCCAACAGCCCAACTCCAGTACCCCCAACAGCCCAACTCCAGTACCCCCAACAGCCCAACTCTGGTCCTCCAGTGTTTCTGGTCCTCCAGTGTTTCTGCTCTGGTGTACTGTAAAGATGCACCATGTTAACGCACGTTTCTACTTAATTTTCTATTGAGGCATTTAGCTCCCCCTCCCCCCTTATTTAATGTCACCAGTCCTGAGACATTGAATATGTTATGCAAACTGTCCACCATATGCTGTCCCTCTGAGGCTCGTAGTCTCATAGCTGACCTATGACCCTGACCCTCTGACGGTAGCTGTGTTGGTTCTGACCCTCTGACGTTAGCTGTGTGGTTCTGACCCTCTGACGTTGGCTGTGTGGTTCTGACCCTCTGACGTTGGCTGTGTGGTTCTGACCCTCTGACGTTGGCTGTGTGGTTCTGATGTTGGCTGTGTGGTTCTGACCCTCTGACGTTGGCCGTGTGGTTCTGACCCTCTGACGTTGGCTGTGTGGTTCTGACCCTCTGACGTTGGCCGTGTGGTTCTGACCCTCTGACGTTGGCCGTGTGGTTCTGTGTGGTTTTGCAGGAGAAAGTTCAGAAGGCTCAGGAAGTGAAGGACCTGGCCATGAGCAGCTTGGCTCAGGCCATCCAGGATGAGAAGAAGGAACAGTGGAGGGCGGAGGGAAGACAGATGCTCTTCGACGCTAAGAGGGTGAGTTACTGACTGAGGTCCCCTGTATGTTAAAGCTGAGCTAAAGCCTAGGCTCAACCATACACACTCAAATTAGGTCAAATCAATCCAATTAAAAAGTATTTGATAGGCCTACTTAACATGGTCTTAAGTCCAGGAGTAAGCTTTTTATCTAGGTCTGTTTAACCACTCCTAGGACTGGTTTTCCGGACGCAGACTTAACTAAGCATAGACTTGGATTAAAAAGCATTGTCAATGGAGAATATCTGTTTGAAAGAGAGTTTTAATCCGGGACTAAACTTTCTCTGGGTCTGGGGAAACCAGACCATAATGTCTTGGTTTGATTTTTTAGCATGAGATGGTGTACTAATGTCTTCTCCTGTCCTCCTCTTCTCCGTTCTTCTTCCTCCTCTTCCTCCCCCACCCCCCCACCTCAGAACAACGTGGCCATGCTGCTGGAGACCAACCGCAGGGAGAGGGTCCACATGGTGACCAACGAGGTGAAGAAGAGGCTGGACTACCAGATCGCCTTGCAGACCCTCCACCGCCGCATGGAGCAGGAACACATGGTTAACTGGGTGGAGAAGAACGTTGTCACCAGCATCACCCCCCAGCAGGTGGGTTAGGGATGGGAGACCGATGGGGAACATTAGGTATTTGACTGGAGTGTATATAGTCAGGAAGGAGACGGGAGATGGAAGGTCTATATACAATAGTGTATATAGTCAGGATAGAAGGGTAGGTCTATATACAGCTCTGGAAAAAATTAAGAGACCACTGCAAAAATATACGTTTCTCTGGTTTTACTATTTATAGGTATGTGTTTGGGTGAAATTAACATTTTTGTTTTATTCTATAAACTACTGACAACATTTCTCCCAAATTCCAAATAAAAATATTGTCATTTAGAGCATTTATTTGCAGAAAATAACAACTGGTCAAAATAACAAAAAAGATGCAGTGTTGTCAGACCTCGAATAATGCAAAGAAAATAAGTTAATGTTCATTTTTTAAAAACACAATACTAATGTTTTAACTTAGGAAGAGTTCAGAAATCAATATTTGGTGGAATAACCCTGATTTTCAATCATAGCTTTCATGCATCTTGGCATGCTCTCTACCAGTCTTTCACATTGATGTTGGGTGACTTTATGCCACTCCTGGGGCAAAAATTCAAGCAGCTCGGCTTTGTTTGATGGCTTGTGACCATCCATCTTCCTCTTGATCACATTCCAGAAGTTTTCAATGGGGTTCTGGTCTGGAGATTGGGCTGGCCATGACAGGGTCTTGATCTGGTGGTCCTCCATCCACACCTTGATTGACCTGGCTGTGTGGCATGGTGCATTGTCCTGCTGGAAAAACCAATCCTCAGAGTTGGGGAACAATGTCAGAGCAAAAGGAAGCAAGTTTTCTTCCAGGACAACCTTGTACGTGGCTTGATTCATGCGTCCTTCACAAAGACAAATCTGCCCGATTCCACCCTTGCTGAAGCACCCCCAGATCATCACCGGTCCTCCACCAAATTTCACAGTGGGTGCGAGACACTGTGGCTTGTAGGCCTCTCCAGGTCTCCGTCTAACCATTAGACGACCAGGTGTTGGGCAAAGCTGAAAATTGGACTCATCAGAGAAGATTACCTTACTCCAGTCCTCTACGGTCCATCCTTATGGTCTTTTGCAAACCTCAGCCTGGCTCTTCTTTGCTTCTCATTGATGAAGGTCTTTTTTCTAGCTTTGCACGACTTCAGCCCTGCCCCTAGGAGCCTGTTTCGAACCGTCCTCGCCGTGCACTTCACCCCAGCTGCCGTTTGCCATTATTTTTGTAGGTCACTTGATGTCATCCTACGGTTGTTGAGTGACATTCGAATTAGTTGGCGGTCATACTGGTCAGTAGAGTTGTTTTCGCCCTCTGCCGGTCTGTAGCTTTGTTGTCCCCAATGTCTGCTGCTTGACCTTGTTCTTATGAACCGCCATCTTAGACATTTTAAGGATGGAAGCAACCTGACGCTCACTGTATCCCTCTGACAGTAAAGCCAGAATTGAACCCTTCTTTTCCTCACTCAAAACTATCCTTTTCAAATCTTTTGGCATGGTCAATAGTTAATTTCTGATTAATATTACTTTTGAGGTACTATTAGCACTGTTTTTGCCATCCAGCTGGTCCTATTGCAAGAGGATAGTGATGACCACAGCAGTGGTTTTTATACTTTTCCTCGTTAAATAAGATTTGGTTCATGTGATCACCTAATCAGTACCTAATTCAGTAGAATGAGGTGTGCCTGTGTTGGAATTCAACAGACACTGGAATGGAATGGCTGTCATACATGTAGAGATGCTGATTTTAAGAAACATTTGCAGTGGTCTCTTAATTTTTTCCAGAGCTGTATATAGTCAGGATAGAAGGGTAGGTCTATATATAGTCAGGTTAGAAGGGTAGGTATATACACTGCTCAAAAAAATAAAGGGAACACTTAAACTAATCTCCCGAGTGGCGCAGTGGTCTAAGGCACTGCATCGCAGTGCTAGCTGTGCCACTAGAGATCCTGGTTCGAATCCAGGCTCTGTCGTAGCTGGCCGTGACCGGGAGAACCATGGGGCGGCGCATAATTGGCCAAGCGTCGTCCAGGGTAGGGGAGGCAATGGCCGGCAGGGATGTAGCTCAGTTGGTAGGTCATGGCGTTTGCAACGCCAGGGTTGTGGGTTCGATTCCCACGGGGGGCCAGTATGAAAAAAATAAAAAATAAAATACAAACAAAAAAATAAAAATAATATATGCACTCACTAACTGTAAGTCGCTCTGGATAAGAGCGTCTGCTAAATGTTAAATGTTAAAATGTTAAACAACACAATGTAACTCCAAGTCAATCACACTTCTGTGAAATCAAACTGTCCACTTAGGAAGCAACACTGATTGACAATACATTTCACATGCTGTTGTGCAAATGGAATAGACAACAGGTGGAAATTATAGGCAATTAGCAAGACACCCCCAATAAAGGACTGGTTTTGCAGGTGGTGACCACAGACCACTTCTCAGTTCCTATGCTTCCTGGCTGATGTTTTGGTCACTTTTGAATGCTGGCGGTGCTTTCACTCTAGTGGTAGCATGAGACGGAGTCTACAACCCACACAAGTGGCTCAGGTAGTGCAGCTCATCCAGGATGGCACATCAATGCGAGCTGTGGCAAGAAGGTTTGCTATGTCTGTCAGCGTAGTGTCCAGAGCATGGAGGCGCTACCAGGAGACAGGCCAGTACATCAGGAGACGTGGAGGAGGCCGTAGGAGGGCAACAACTCAGCAGCAGGACTGCTACCTCCGCCTTTGTGCAAGGAGGAGCAGGAGGAGCCCTGCAAAATGACCTCCAGCAGGCCACAAATGTGCATGTGTCTGCTCAAACGGTCAGAAACAGACTCCATTAGGGTGGTATGAGGGCCCGACGTCCACAGGTGGGGGATGTGCTTACAGCCCAACACCGTGCAGGACGTTTGGCATTTGCCAGAGAACACCAAGATTGGCAAATTCGCCACTGGCGCCCTGTGCTCTTCACAGATGAAAGCAGGTTCACACTGAGCACATGTGACAGACGTGACAGAGTCTGGAGACGCCGTGGAGAACGTTCTGCTGCCTGCAACATCCTCCAGCATGACCGGTTTGGCGGTGGGTCAGTCATGGTGTGGGGTGGCATTTCTTTGGGGGGCCGCACAGCCCTCCATGTGCTCGCCAGAGGTAGCCTGACTGCCATTAGGTACCGAGATGAGATCCTCAGACCCCTTGTGAGACCATATGCTGGTGCGGTTGGCCCTGGGTTCCTCCTAATGCAAGACAATGCTAGACCTCATGTGGATGGAGTGTGTCAGCAGTTCCTGCAAGAGGAAGGCATTGATGCTATGGACTGGCCCGCCCGTTCCCCAGACCTGAATCCAATTGAGCACATCTGGGACATCATGTCTCGCTCCATCCACCAACGCCACGTTGCACCACAGACTGTCCAGGAGTTGGCGGATGCTTTAGTCCAGGTCTGGGAGGAGATCCCTCAGGAGACCATCCGCCACCTCATCAGGAGCATGCCCAGGCGTTGTAGGGAGGTCATACAGGCACGTGGAGGCCACACACACTACTGAGCCTAATTTTGACTTGTTTTAAGGACATTACATCAAAGTTGGATCAGCCTGTAATGTGGTTTTCCACTTTAATTTTGAGGGTGACTCCAAATCCAGACCTCCATGGGTTGATACATTTGATTTCCATTGATAATTTTTGTGTGATTTTGTTGTCAGCACATTCAACTATGTAAAGAAAAACGTATTTAATAAGATTATTTCATTCATTCAGATCTAGGATGTGTTATTTTAGTGTTCCCTTTATTTTTTTGAGCAGTGTATATAATAGTGTATATAGTCAGTATAGAAGGATGTGTAATGATATATACACGTGTGTATAGAAGGGTAGGTACAGTGCCTTCGGAAAGTATTCAGTCCCCTTGACTTTTTCCACATTTTGTTACGTTACAGCCTTATTCTAAAATTGATTATTCTTTTTTCCCTCAACAACCTACACACAATACCCCATAATGACAAAGCAAAAACAGGTTTTTATAAATTTTTGCTAATTTATTACAAATAAAAAAACTGAAATTACATTTACATAAGTATTCAGACCGTTTACTCAGTACTTTGTTGAAGCACCTTTGGCAGTGATTACAGCCTCGAGTCTTCTTGGGTATGACGTTTCAAGCTTGGCACACCTGTATTTGGGGAGTTTCTCCCATTCTTCTCTGCAGATCCTCTCAAGCTCTGTCAGGTTGGATGGGGAGCGTCGCAGCACAGCTATTTTCAGGTCTCCAGAGATGTTCGATCGGGTTCAAGTCCGGGCTCTGGCTGGGCCACTCAAGGACATTCAGAGACTTGTCCCGAAGCCACTCCTGCATTGTCTTGGCTGTGTGCTTAGGGTTGTTGTCCTGTTGGAAGGTGAACCTTCGCCCCAGTCTGAGGTCCTGAGCACTCTGGAGCAGGTTTTCATCATGGATCTCTCTGTACTTTGCTCCGTTTATCTTTCCCTTGATCGTGACTAGTCTCCCAGTCCCTGCTGCTGAAAAACATCCCCACAGTAGGGATGGTGCCAGGTTTCCTCCAGAAGTGACGCTTGGCATTCAGCCCAAAGAGTTCAATGTTGGTTTCATCTGACCAGAAAATCTTGTTTCTCATGGTAACACACACACACACACACACACACAGTTGAAGTTGGAAGTTTAAATACACTTAGGTTGGAGTCATTAAAACTCGTTTTTCAACCACTCCACTAATTTCTTGTTAACCAACTATAGTTTTGGCAAGTCGGTTAGGACATCTACTTTGTGCATGACACAAGTCATTTTTTCAACAATTGTTTACAGACAGATTATTTCACTTATAATTCACTGTATCACAATTCCACTGGGTCAGAGGTTTACATACACTAAGTTGACCGTGCCTTTTAACAGCTTGGAAAATTCCAGAAAATGATGTCATGGCTTTAGAAGCTTCTGATAGTCTAATTGACATCATTTGAGTCAATTGGAGGTGTACCTGTGGATGTATTTCAAGGCCTACCTTCAAACTCAGTACCTCTTTGCTTGACATCATGGGAAAATCAAAATGAATCAGCCAAGACCTCAGAAAAAAAAATTGTAGACCTCCACTAGTCTGGTTCATCCTTGGGAGCAATTTCCAAACGCCTGAAGGTACCATGTTCATCTGTACAAACAATAGTACGCAATAGTAATCATTTTACATTTACATTTACATTTTAGTCATTTAGCAGACGCTCTTAACCAGAGCGACTTACAGGAGCAATTAGGGTTAAGTGCCTTGCTCAAGGGCACATTAACGTCATTTAGCAGACGCTCTTAGCCAGAGCGACTCACAAATTGGTGCGTTCACCCTATAGCCAGTGGGATAACCACTTTACAATTTGGGGGGGGGGTTAGAAGGAATACTTTATCCTATCCCAGGTATTCCTTAAAGAGGTGGGGTTTCAAATGTCTCCGGAAGGTGGTGAGTGACTCCGCTGTCCTGGCGTCGTGAGGGAGCTTGTTCCACCATTGGGGTGCCAGAGCAGCGAACAGTTTTGACTGGGCTGAGCGGGAGCTGTGCTTCCGCAGAGGAAGGGGAGCCAGCAGGCCAGAGGTGGATGAACGCAATGTCCTCGTTTGGGTGTAGGGACTGATCAGAGCCTGAAGGTACAGAGGTGCCGTTCCCCTCACTGCTCCATAGGCAAGCACCATGGTCTTGTAGCGGATGCGAGCTTCAACTGGAAGCCAGTGGAGTGTGCGGAGGAGGGGGGGTGACGTGAGAGAACTTGGGAAGGTTGAACACCAGACGGGCTGCGGCATTCTGGATGAGTTGTAGGGGTTTAATGGCACAGGCAGGGAGCCCAGCCAACAGCGAGTTGCAGTAGTCCAGACGGGAGATGACAAGTGCCTGGACCAGGACCTGCGCCGCTTCCTGTGTAAGGCAGGGTCGCACTCTCCGAATGTTGTAGAGCATGAACCTGCAGGAGCGGGTCACCGCCTTGATGTTGGCGGAGAACGACAGGGTGTTGTCCAGGGTCACGCCTAGGCGTTGGGTTTTTAATGACTGCTACCCTGGGTTCTCTTCAAATGCTTGAGCAATACCAACAATGGAATAATCACACACATATTTGACACGACACCCCAGTCAGGGTCGAACAAACAAGTATTCTGAAGAAGCTATGCTCTTTGAACCTAGGTCTGGCTACCACGTGGCAGCTCTACCAGCTGTTGTGTACACAAACACAACTGGAGACTGTAAGTCTCTCTGGATAAGAGCGGCTGCTAAATGACTAAAATGAGACAAATGCCACAAATCCAAAACTTTCCTGCACGTGGTATTGAAATACTGCTCTTCAGAATACTGCGGTGTGACTTAATGATTTCCCAGGGGTGGTGGGTCAGAGTCATGCTGTGTATAAACTCTCCACTAGAGGTCCTGCCATGTTTTCTGTACGTAGCTTGTGAACTCCAGTATTGATGGCCAATAGAATTTACAGCTCAACTTTCTGCAATAGGCTTTGATTTTTTTCTTGATTTCTTTGACCCTTGACCTTTTGTCATGCCTTGCTGTCTGACTAACCCTGTTGGTTCGTTTTTGTGTTTCAGGAGATGGCGAGTATTGCTAAGTGCATCACAGACCTGAAGGTGTTGGCTAAAGTCCAGCAGGCAAAGGCTACTGCGTAACTCACTACATGTACTGTCTAGACACACTCTCCTGAACCCCAACTCATTGATGCCCACTTTTCATTACAAATAAACTATTTCCTCTTTTAACGATATGGTCTGTCCATATGTGTGTGTGTGTATATACACGTCAACTGATCATAAAATAAAAGGTTCATTTTGTTCACTAATCTTCTAGTTTGGTGTTGTTCTTAACCACAGATGGAGAATGTTACAGTCGTCATAGAAGCTGTTTGTTTTCAATATGTACTGCGTAATTATTGTTACATTTATTCTCAAATCAAAACATTTGATCGTGATACTGGTGTGGATTCTGGTTCAACTTTAGCCAATGGACCATGACTAACTTTGACTAGGCCCCGTGTCATATTGTGCTGGAGAATTGCATAAGAGGTTTGAGTTGAGTTTTGTGATGCACTTCGATCAACCGGATCTAATTACCAGGCGTTCCCAAACCTTTGGACTCATAACGTAGAAAACTTTTCATCAAGCCTTAACGACCCATCTAGATACTCTGAAGTCCCAAATGGCACCATATTCCCTATGTAGTGCACTACTTTTGACCAGTGCCTATAGGGTTCTGATCGAATGTAGTGCACTATATAGGGAAGATGTTGCCAATTTGGGACATACACTAGCTGTAGGGCTGGTCCTTCTCTCTGTCACCCCTGGGGCCTGTTCAGGAGAGTGTAATGATACAAATCCTAATGCTTTGAACAGATATGATTGTTATGTAGTGCAGGGCATTGTTACAGCTCGTTAGATTTTCTGTCAACGTTGTAAGATTTTCACCTCACTGAATACACCCTAGTCTGGTTGACTTTGACCGTGACGTTTCCAAGCAGGAAGTCCAAGGATGGATATTTGTTGCTTTTTACCTGCCCGATGGTTTCGGATGCTTGTCTTCAACGTGTGAAATATGAGCGGGTTGGTCATGAACCAGTGAACTGAGGACACCGGCTACTTTCACAGGTAATATTGGACTTCATGAATAAAGCGTAAGATACTATACTGTAATGTCTGAGGGATAGACCGTAAAATAATAGTATGAGCTTTGGATTAACGTTTGTTGGCAGTATGAAGTTCTATGTTAATGTTGGAAGTTAAACGATTTTGTTACTGATATCTCCATCAGTAAATATAGATTTTTTTGTGACCCACAGACTTTTAAGCCAGTAGCGAAATCGATCGCTAGTGTCACCTGGGAGGCAGTAAATGTGCTATGAACTACACTGAACAAAAATATTCTAAAGTTTTACTGAATTACATTTCATATAAGGAAATCGGTCAATTTAAATAAATTCATTAGGCCCTAATCTATGGATTTCACATGACTGGGAATACAGATATGCATCGGTTGGTCACAGATACCTTTAAAAAAGAAAGGTAGGGGCGTGGATTAGAAAACTAGTCAATATCTGGTGTGACAACTATTTGCCTCATGCAGCGCGACACATCTCCTTCACATAGAGTTGATCAGGCTGTTGATTGTGGCCTGTGGAATGTTGTCCCACTCCTCTTCAATGGCTGTGCAAAGTTGCTGGATATTGGCGGCAACTGGAACATGCTGTCCTACACGTCGATCCAGAGCATCCCAAACATGCTCAATGGGTGACATGTCTGGTGAGTTTGCAGGCCATGGAAGAATTGGGACATTTTCAGCTTCCAGGAATTGTGTACAGATCCTTGCGTGCATTATCATGCTGAAACTTGAGGGGATGGCGGCAGATTAATGTCACGACAATGGGCCTCAGGATCTCATCACGGTATCTCTGTGCTTTCAAATTACCATCGATAAAATGCTATTGTTTTCGTTGTCCGTAGCTTATGCCTGCCCATACCATAACCCCACCTCCACCATGGGGCACTCTGTTAGCAACGTTGACATCAGCAAACGCTCGCCCACATGACGCCATACACGTCATCATCACGGTACAGTTAAAACTGGGATTCATCCGTGAAGAGCACACTTCTCCAGCGTGCCAGTGGCCATCGAAGGTGAGCATTTGCCCACTGAAGTCAGTTACGCGCGCCAAACTGCAGTCAGGTCAAGACCCTGGTGAGGACGACGAGCACGCAGATGAGCTTACCTGAGACGGTTTCTGACAGTTTGGCAGACATTATTTGGTCCTGTAAACCTACAGTTTCATCAGCTTCCGGTGGCTGGTCTCAGACAATCCCGCAGGTGAAGAAGCTGGATGTGGAGGTCCTGGGCTGGCGTGGTTACACATGGTCTGCGGTTGTGAGGCCGGTTGGACGTACTGCCACATTTTCTAAAATAATTTTGGAGGGGGCAATGGTAGAAAAATGAACAATCAATTCTCTGGCAACAGCTCTGATGAACATTCCTGCAGTCAGCATGCCAATTACACATGTTGTGTGACAAAACTGCACATTTTAGAGTGGCCTTTTATTGTCCCCAGCACAAGGTGCACCTGTGTAATGATCATGCTATTTAATCAGCTTCTTGATATGCCACACCTGTCAGGTGGATGGATTATCTTGGCAAAGGAGAAATGCTCACTAACAGGGATGTAAACAAATTTGTGCACAATATTTGAGCGTATGAAAAATGTATTGGATATTTTATTTCAGCTCATGAAACATGGGACCAACTCTTTACATGTTGTGTTTGTATTTTTGTTCAGTGTAGTTAATGTTGCTGTGATGGTAACTGGCAAGCACAGGAGGAAGGCTTATCATAATGGCTGGAATGGAGTGAATTGAATGGTATCAAACATGGAAACCATGTTCGATACCATTCCATTCAAGACATTACTATGAGCTGTCCTCCCCAATTAAGGTGCCGCCAACCTGTGCTGGCAAGGTGAGCTGAGGTTGAGCTTACCTTTTAGCTCAGTGTCGCATAAATACATCTCTTATTTTAGTTTTCTATCTAATAACCCATTTTAAAGGAGGAAGACAGTTGTTCAACTATCTGCTGCTGAGTGAATAGAACGTTGAGGTATGTATGCTGCTGAGTGAATAGAACATTGAGGTATGTATGCTGCTGAGTGAATAGAACATTGAGGTATGTATGCTGCTGAGTGAATAGAACATTGAGGTATGCTGAGTGAATAGAACATTGAGGTATGTATGCTGCTGAGTGAATAGAACACTGAGGTAAGTATTCTGCTGAGTGAATAGAACATTGAGGTATGTATGCTGCTGAGTGAATAGAACATTGAGGTATGCTGAGTGAATAGAACATTGAGGTATGTATGCTGCTGAGTGAATAGAACACTGAGGTATGCTGAGTGAATAGAACATTGAGGTATGCTGAGTGAATAGAACATTGAGGTAAGTGTGCTGCTGAGTGAATAGAACATTGAGGTATGTATGCTGCTGAGTGAATAGAACATTGAGGTAAGTGTGCTGCTGAGTGAATAGAACATTGAGGTATGTATGCTGCTGAGTGAATAGAACATTGAGGTATGTATGCTGCTGAGTGAATAGAACACTGAGGTATGCTGAGTGAATAGAACATTGAGGTATGCTGAGTGAATAGAACATTGAGGTAAGTGTGCTGCTGAGTGAATAGAACATTGAGGTATGTATGCTGCTGAGTGAATAGAACATTGAGGTAAGTGTGCTGCTGAGTGAATAGAACATTGAGGTATGTATGCTGCTGAGTGAATAGAACATTGAGGTATGTATGCTGCTGAGTGAATAGAACACTGAGGTATGCTGAGTGAATAGAACATTGAGGTAAGTATTCTGCTGAGTGAATAGAACATTGAGGTATGCTGAGTGAATAGAACATTGAGGTATGTATGCTGCTGAGTGAATAGAACACTGAGGTATGCTGAGTGAATAGAACATTGAGGTATGTATGCTGCTGAGTGAATAGAACATTGAGGTAAGTATTCTGCTGAGTGAATAGAACATTGAGGTATGCTGAGTGAATAGAACATTGAGGTAAGTATGCTGCTGAGTGAATAGAACATTGAAGTATGCTGAGTGAATAGAACATTGAGGTATGTATGTTGCTGAGTGAATAGAACATTGAGGTATGCTGAGTGAATAGAACATTGAGGTAAGTATGCTGCTGAGTGAATAGAACACTGAGGTATGCTGAGTGAATAGAACATTGAGGTATGTATGCTGCTGAGTGAATAGAACACTGAGGTATGCTGAGTGAATAGAACACTGAGGTATGTGTGCTGCTGAGTGATAGAACATTGAGGTATGCTGAGTGAATAGAACATTGAGGTATGTATGCTGCTGAGTGAATAGAACATTGAGGTAAGTATGCTGCTGAGTGAATAGAACACTGAGGTATGCTGAGTGAATAGAACATTGAGGTATGTATGCTGCTGAGTGAATAGAACATTGAGGTATTTATGCTGCTGAGTGAATAGAACATTGAGGTATGCTGCTGAGTGAATAGAACATTGAGGTATGTATGCTGCTGAGTGAATAGAACATTGAGGTATGTATGCTGCTGAGTGAATAGAACATTGAGGTATGTATGCTGCTGAGTGAATAGAACACTGAGGTATGCTGAGTGAATAGAACATTGAGGTATGTATGCTGCTGAGTGAATAGAACATTGAGGTAAGTATTCTGCTGAGTGAATAGAACATTGAGGTATGCTGAGTGAATAGAACATTGAGGTATGTATGCTGCTGAGTGAATAAAACAGTGAGGTATGCTGAGTGAATAGAACATTGAGGTATGTATGCTGCTGAGTGAATAGAACATTGAGGTATGCTGAGTGAATAGAACATTGAGGTATGTATGCTGCTGAGTGAATAGAACACTGAGGTATGCTGAGTGAATAGAACATTGATGTATGTATGCTGCTGAGTGAATAGAACATTGAGGTAAGTATTCTGCTGAGTGAATAGAACATTGAGGTATGTATGCTGCTGAGTGAATAGAACATTGAGGTATGCTGAGTGAATAGAACATTGAGGTATGTATGCTGCTGAGTGAATAGAACACTGAGGTATGCTGAGTGAATAGAACATTGAGGTATGTATGCTGCTGAGTGAATAGAACACTGAGGTAAGTGTGCTGCTGAGTGAATAGAACATTGAGGTATGCTGAGTGAATAGAACATTGAGGTAAGTGTGCTGCTGAGTGAATAGAACATTGAGGTATGCTGAGTGAATAGAACATTGAGGTATGTATGCTGCTGAGTGAATAGAACACTGAGGTATGCTGA